AGTTGTTTAAAGTTATAGGATAGGATGATATCTCGTCATGTTTGGTTTAGTTTCTTTGCATCAATGTTGAAATCTCCTAGAAGAATAATTTCTTTTCCTAAGCTAAACACTCTATCCAGCATAGAAGTGAAGTCGTCATTCCAATTGTTACCTGCACACGGATTTCGATATAGGTAACCAATGAAAAGCGATTGCTGGTTTGACGGCTTGACTTCCAGCCAGATACACTCTACTTCTAAGGATTCTAGGTCACTTCTATGGGAATAATTGATACAGTTTGAGATATAAACAGTTATACCTGTTTCTAGTTTTCTCACTGCGTCTTTGCGAATAACGTTGAAGCCATTGATTTTAATTTCATTATTAGTAATTTTATTGTTTAGCCAACTTTCGGTAATTCCAAAAAGATGAAACTGGCTGCTAATCCTAACTGATAGCTCAGGTAATTTGCCTAACAAATGATAAATGTTTAGGTGACCTATTCGGAGGCCACCTTTGTTTAACCACTGATTACGACTGGCTGACATTGTATTTGGTATAAGGGAATTTATATTTCTTGGCACTGACTTTTTTTCAAGATGTACTCACTGGGTTGTACTGGCATGTGATAGGGTAGGGTACCGTCTCTGCTGGAGTGACATCATGAAAGCCTGGTGCAGAGCTGCAGGATTAAACTGCATGAGATGCTCGACATCTCGATTCCAGCGGTAAGCAGGACGTACGTTAGTGTACAGTGAGGGGTGGTTAACGTGAGTACCACCAGCAGGTCCTACATTGGAGACTGACATCTGGGGCATAGCGCTATTATTTAAGGGTGCTTCTGTAGATCTGCACTGTGGAGACTGCTTAACAGGTAAGGAAGGAAACAGTTCATCATATGTCTTAGTCTGAGAAATAAGACATGGTTTGTGCTGCACCGGAATGTGCACTTGGTTTGAAGAAAAGTTCAAAGCTGCACTAGAGGACGTTTTATCATTACAATCATTCCGAGTGTGAGCCACAGATGTTCGTTCAGGGTATTTTATATTTTTGGCCAAAATACTAGTTCCTAATTTTGAGCAGTGTATTTGGTCTCTATACATGCTTTTCTTGGGCGCACCGGATGAGGAAGCAAAAAAAGGAGTATTATTTATAAATCATTTATAACATCATATTCTGAGCAAAATTTGCGTAGTGTCAGATTGCCCAAGTCGGCCTTGCCACGTTGAACTCCATAGCTTGGGGTTATCATAGAACTTATGAACACAGAAGATCTAGGAAACTTTACACGTATAATGTTTAACAATGAAGACAGTTTTGAACTACTGATAAGTTGATCGTTCATAATGTCATTAATTCCAATATGAACTGTCGTTCGCAGCACATTAGAACTGATGTTAGATCGGTTCAGTGTCGCTATCAGTTTATTAAAGTCTGCGCCGGGTAGTGGATAGACAGCTACTCTCTCACTGGCTGATGATGCCATAGAAAAGTGTTGAGAACTACTGGGGAAAAACTATCCAGAGAACATCAAAGAAGAACCTCGGATCTTATAATTCGATAATTATTGTGGTTATGTGGCGGTGTTGCGCACGGGCTTAATTCTTGCTTGATGCTGCATGGAGTTTACTGTTTCAACGAGACTAAGATGCCAGCTGATGTGGAATATGGTCTTGTTTCAGCTAGAGTTCTACTCTTCACTATGGCCTGTTTCACACGACGAAGTCTGGAACATGACAATAGTTCTGCTGTTAGAAAGCATATACTTTATATGTCAAGATCATTGCACAATAGGTCTTATTAATGACATGACAAGGTGTTTTTAAGGATAATCATGCCCGGCTCTCTAGCGTAGTTTGCTAAACCGGACTGCGCAGTGACCGGGTGACGAACTCCTTGTGGTCCGGGTTCACGCCCGGGGGTAGGCAGAAAAGCCACATTTTCCCCAGATTTACGGTATTTATCATGGAATCAAGGCCGAAGGGTTGCGATATCCATAAATACCGAGTCTAAGGGTTAACAACTCATGGCTTCTGGATACTAAAAAAAAGTGGGGGGGGGGGGGGGTAATTATGAAAAGATAAAGAAAACAAGGAATCAAAGAGAACAATGTGGCATTGTAGAGTGAAGGGGTACAATGTCGTACACGTTCACAACACACTGTTAGAAAGAGTTTCTTCTTCTTCCCCTTTATCATCGTCTTCTTCTTCTTCTTCTTCTTCTTCTTCTTCTTCTTCTTCTTCTTCTTCTTCTTCTTCTTCTTCTTCTTCTTCTTCTTCTTCTTTCTTCTTCTTCTTCTTCTTCTTCTTCTTCTTCTTCTTCTTCTTCTTTCTCTGCCTTTCTTCCCTCAATGGAGCACAGACCGTAATCCAACTCAACCTAAGTCCTTTGTTGACTTTTTATGCTTTGAATTCATAACCAGTTTTTTGCAAGAAAATCACTTTTTAGGGAAAGTATGGTTGGTCACCATCGCATTAATAAGTCATGCTAGCAAAATCCTCTTACGAATTATCATGAAAAGGATTGAAAAGAAATTACAATATGAACTAGATGAAGCACAAACGGGTTTCAGACAGGGTATAGGAACTAGGGATCACATATTTAATATGAGAATAATTTTTGAAAAATGCAGAGAATACAATATAGATCTTCATGCTTGTTTTATTGATTATAGCAAGGCATTTGATTGTGTCCAGCACCACCAACTGTGGACTATTAAGAAAAGTATAGGGTTTCCAGCGCATTTAGTGCATTTAATTGAAAATCTCTATCATGAACAACAAGCAGCTATCAGAGCAGCTGGTGAAACATCTAATTGGTTCGAGGTGCAAAAGGGGGTGAGGCAGGGGTGCATTCTCTCACCATACCTATTTAATATATACGCAGAAAATATAATGAGAAATGTCAAAAATGACCAGACTTGTGACAGTTATGATCCCCTCAAAATTGGTGGCAACCCTATTCCGGAACTCCGCTCCGGAACTCAGATGACACAATCCTCCTTTCGAACAGCGTAAAATGAATAGAAAATTTAATATTGTCCGTCCAAAAGCACAGTGAATATCAAAATCTGTTCTTGAATTTAAAGAAAACGAAAATAATGTCCACAGATAAAACTGGCTGTCACCCAAAAATAACAATAAATTATGAAGAAATTGAAAATGTCACAAACTTTGAATATCTAGGCTCTATAATAAACAACAATGGAGACTTCGACAGAAATTAAAAGGACGATGGCCATAGCAATGCAAAGATTGAACAGCCTTAAAAGTCTATGGTTAAATACCAGCAAGGAGATACAAATTAGAATTTTGAGAGCATGCATCTTCCCTGTGGCTACATACGGATGTGAGTCGTGGACTATCTCTCAGTCCTTAAGAAAGAGAATATGGGCTTTTGAGCTGAAATGCTATAGAAATATTCTCAGAATATCTTATACAAAGAAGATGAGAAATATTGACATTTTAAAAGATCTGAACATCAAGGAAGAATTGCTAATAAACAGCATCCTTTCTCGAAAGCTGAAATATTTTGGTCATATCAAGCGCCACGACGGATTGGAAAAAATTGTAGCAGAAGGCATGGTACCAGGAAGGAGGGGCAGGGGCCGACCGACACGAAGATGGGCACAGGATATAAGTAACTCCTTGAGTGTGAAAGTTCATGAGGCGGGAGAACTGGCAAGAGACCAAGTTTCTTACATGCAGACTGCCATGAGAGCGACGTTCTGCAAAGGACCTGCTACATGATGATGATGATGGCTGGTCACAACGATATACTTTGCTTTTCTTATTTAGCTTGGCCTTGCAAGGGTATAAGGAAAATGTATAGAAATAAAACTAGATTTCTACTTTAGTCTCCTGGACTACGTTAAAGCGTTCAACAGTTTATGGAAATAAAATAATCTGCGAATAAGCGGAAATCACTCTCTCTTGAATTCTCTCGCCAACATTAAACAATGGAGGAAATATAATTGACACAGCCCCTGGCTGTTGTGTGGTTTCTCTAGGCAAATTACGTCCAGTAGTTTGCCATTGCTTTCTGGACGGTCGGCTTTCTTGATACCACTGTCGAAACCAACGCAAGGCGCATTGCCCGCAGCTGGGATCGAACCCGGCATCTCGGCATTACGAAGCGAAGTGTTCGCATCGACTTAGCCACAGAGCCGACGCGTATAATAACATATGTATTTTACAGGTTACCTGATGTGAAGAAGTATAACATCCCGCGCCCTTTATCAAAGCATATTAATTATAATGATTATTATTATGACGATGATGGCGGTGGTGATAATGATGCCAATAAAATAATAAAGTCCAGATTCATCATCATGTAGCAGGTCTTTTGCAGAACGTCGCTCTTATCACGGTCTGCCTGAAAGAAACTCGGTCTCTCGCCAGCTCTCCCGCCTCATGTACTTTTATACTCAAGGAGTCCTGTGCATATCTTCGTGTCGGTCGGCCCCTGCCCCTCATTCCTGGTACCATGCCTTCTGCTATAATTTTTTCCAATCCCTCGTGGCGCTTGATATGACCAAAATATTTGCACTTCCAAGACAGGATGCTGTTTATTAGCCAATCTTCCTTGATGTTCAGATCTATGAAGATGTCAGTATTTCTCGTCTTCTTTTTCCAAGATATTCTGAGAATCTTTCTACAGCATTTCAGCTTAAAAGCCCATATTCTCTTTCTTGAAGACTGACAGTCCGGATTACCAAAACTAAATATCGGTATCAAACAAACGGTGCCATGTCTGTTTCTCATAAATCGTTATAAATTGAATGTCAATATATATTTACATTAATTCCCATGCATATTTCCCAAAGTTTTAAGAACGTTTTTAATATTCTAATCAATGTCATTTTACCGCAATATTTCCATGTAACTTTGCGTTTGTTTGTAAATTTTTCCATAATAAACGTGTATTTTCAAAACAATAAATTGTCTTAATATTATTGTGCCAGTGCTTGAATGTCAGCCGACTTGTTGCCAAAGCTACATGTAATTTATGCATAATTTCAGCAAACGTTACGGCCAAGACTTTGGATAACCCTAATGTTACTTTACAAATCTGGGACACAGCTGGCATGGAGCGGTTCAGAAGTTTGTTACCACACTACATGCGGAATGCAGAGTGCGCAATTTGTGTGTATGACATGAGCAGCAGGGTATGTTCTTCCGCACATGTTACTTTGAAACTGTAACGCGTTCCTGTCCTGTGCATTCTTCAGTGTGGTTTTCCATGTCAGAGATGCAGTATCGTTCATCTCCATGTGGTTTTTAGGCGCCCCCTCATTCTCACGTGGACGGTTTTTGCCTTTTCAAACATTGTTCTTTACATTCCAGAAACCAATTCTCAGTTTGGTTTTGACGTCCAATAGATTTGTTTTTCCATCATAGGCTTCCTTTCGACTTTTACCCATACTGTTCATAATGGCAGAATGACCCTGTCACAAGACAGCATGACTTTTGGAGCACTTATTTACTCTTGAAGTTTCTGTAACTTTTTTTTAACAGCCAGAACTGCCAACACTGCGTCCAACCCCTGTTCTGATGCCTATCGTCACAGTTGATTAAACTTGACTTTATAACCTCTAACAAAACTTTCATCGTATAATAGAAGCGCCAGTTTTTCGTTTACTGTTAATTTAAAGATCATTTCATCGCACATCGGACATGATCACAGTGCTTCGATCTTTATTTTTGTGCTAATAACCTCGAGTTGGCCCCTGCATGGTTTTCTTGTCTCGCTGCTTCAGCTGGGACATCAATGTGGTATGCATTCTATTTATTGACGAGTAATTTTCTACGAGATTGAAGACTTCACAGCGTGTATTCGCTCTCTCCCCCCCCTCTCTCTCTCTCTCTCTCTCTCTCTCTCTCTCTCATAGCATTGATAATGTCTCTCCTATTCATAGATGGCCCATCCTTGATAGTCGCTGTGCCAGCCAAGGCATAAGCTGTCTCATTGCCTTTCACACCTGGAACAAAAATGAAGCTGCCTATGTGAATCGCTGCCTGCCGTATGAGTTAAATCGAGAGCAAAGACGTCTAAAGAAGCGATGTCGACTGAATGATTGAATGAAATAATCAATAATTGGCATCACTGCACTTGAGACATGTCCGCATGCGCCCTGCCCTCGTCCTTAGTAACCTACGACGAATCACATAATAATAATGTAAACTGCATTCTGATTTTAAAAGTCCAACTATGTTTTTCCCTCAGCGTTGAATATCTCCCACAACCTCTGCTCACTAGGGCTGGACTAGTCTTTCGGAGTATGGATGTCCTGTCTATTCTCTTGCACAGCCAATCTGGTCTCAAGTTGCCTTTCAACACTACAGCAGGGCTGCCAGTGCTAGGTCCCCCCCCCCCCCCCCCCACCCAGTTCTGGTTTTTTTTTTTTGACGCCCAAGGGAAATCTGGGTTTTTAAAAAATATATATCCTTATAATAAAGTGGTAAATGTTTCGTTTCGTAACTATAAATTTTGTACATTTTAACAATCTCGGTTTTTTATTTCTGTTTTGTTCTTTGTCTATCTATTGCTTGGGTTTTTTGTTAGCGAAGCTGGGTTTTTAAAAAAAAAAAAAAAATACTATTGGCAGCCCTGCACTACAGCAAAAAAGTCGTTCTGAAAGATTTTACACATAGTTAACGGACAGTACTATGCCTTTCTCCTAAACAAAGTGAAATATGATGTTACAAAAAACTCACCCCTTTACGAAGCTACTAGCTAACGTGTTGATTACTAACATCTTCCTTCCAGAATCTCCAGGTTTAGTCTTAGTACTGTTTCATTACCTTTATATTTCCACGTAGGACACATTCTCGTCTATTGCTGATTACTGGATTGACTACGTCAAGGCTGCCAGTTCAGAGGCGCTAACCAAAGTACTGGTAGCAAATAAATGTGACACACTGACGAAGGTTGTGAAAAACTATGTAAGTACATTAGGTGTATGTTGGCAACTTGACACTGTTGTGTACACATTAGTGTTGGTATTATTTCTTTCTTCTTCTTGCATCTCCTCTCACTCTTCCTCTTCTCCCTCCTTCTCCTCTTCTAAAAACATCCCTAAACTAATTTTTATGCTATCAACTGTAAGTGATGTGGCATGAAATACATCGGTGAAACGGGTCTACGACTGGCTGACAGGTTCAGACATCTTTTGGATCTGCAGAACGCTGCCCTGAAGCAAGTAGCGTTGCACTTCAGCTCCCAGGATCACCAAGGTGTCCACGACATGGAGGTGAAAACCATTAAATCTAGCCATTCCAGCGACAGAGTCCGCAAGTCTCTTGGGAATCACTTTTTTTTCACCCTGGGCACATTGACACCTAGGAAACTTGCATTCCCCTACTGTTTATTCTCGTGCCCAGAGTGGTTCCTCACTCCACTGGCAAGGCATCAACCAGGCTGATTCGGGGTACGTCGGTGAAGTGATTTTGTGTATTCGTGTGGTTTTGTTTGATTTATTTTTGTTCTGATAAAGGCTCAATAGCCGCAACGTTCAGGTTTCGTTTATTTTTGTTTTATTGTGAAGATCGCTGATTTACTTTTCGTTCGGTTTTATACCCTTCAATGATCACTGTTGAAGATGTACAGGGTTATTCAAAATGATGGATACATTTTCATTCATGCATATTTCCTTGAATACACATTACACGTTATTAAAACTAGTTGTAGCCGGCCACGCGTTGCTGTGGCTCAGTCTGGCTAAATAGAAAAGAAAGAAAATAGAAAGCGCATATGTCTAATATGGTTAATTCAATAGATATAGAGATATTCTGGTTTGCCGATTGAAGAACACGCAACATATAATTGTGTCTTAATATTAGTGGTCGTTCAAATTGTATTATTAGGGCCAAAATTTTTTTTAAATTTGTTTATCATATGCTAAAGTTGTTGTAATCTTTGTTGTGTATGTGTGTGTGTGTTTTAAAAAGCTGAAAGTAAAGCCTACTACTGTACTTCTAAATCGCCAACACATTCACATAATAATATGAATAGCTGAGACAGCGTTATTAAAATATAAATAATAATAATAATAATTTAAAACTTTACAATTAAATTCAAGCTTTCTTAATTAAAAGTTTCTTTCATCACCCCTAAAAATTTCAAAGCGATCGGTGAAGAACTTTCGGAGAGTATTGATTAGCCACCAATTAACATTTACATTTTTATACATATTCATCATCATCAGGTGCCTTGCCGACTGGCGTAGACAATCATGCCTCTCCACAATCCGCGATGGCCTGCAGTTTGTATTAGTTTGCGTGCTGATACACCTCCATAGATATATATACAGGAGACAAAGAGGGAGATGAAGGTCTGAAGTTTACAAATTTGAAATATATGTTTCAGAAGTTCAATATTGTCCCGTCTGCTGCTCGTCAAACATTTAAGCAGTAGCCGAACTCATCCCACACATGAAGAAGCATATCTTATGTAACTGAGTTGGCTGCAGCTGTGATACGGTTCTGTAGGTTATGCAACTGTGCTCTAGTGGTCGTATTTGAAACTTTATTCCTTCCCCTCTCTCTTCTATTTATATTAATAATATGCAATGTATATTAAAGGAAATATACATGAAGTGAAAGTGTATTCATAATTTTGAACAATCTTTCCATAATTTTGAACAATCTTTTATAATGATCTCCTGTGTGCTCTTTCTAATATCCTGATCAGCAGTAAATTATTTTTTTTCTGTTAAGTTGCGTAGAGAGGAAAAGTTGGAGGGATAACTGGCTAATGGCATTCCGTGTGGATAAAGAATGTCTTTAATATCACCAATCCATCTTCTCCTTCAGCGCTGTCATTACCCCCTGCGTTTATACTGCTCCATAAAAATACAGGTGTAACACCATGTTCCTGTTAAATGCTAATGTCGTTCCCCGAGGGGTTCCCGGGCCCCATAATCGGGAAAATCAGAATAGTCTCATTGCCCACCCAAAAGCATATCGTAAGAGTCGACTAAATAGGAGCCTCTTCGAAGTCGGAGTGCATTTACCTGACAGGCAAGGAACCAACACTCTGCAAACACATGAATCAGATCTGTAAAACATATGTGCATGCAACATTTATGTTCTGGAAAAGTGGGTAAACAACCAGAACTTTCTGCCAAAGTTGGCAGCTGGTGAACGTGAAGAAGAAGAAGATAAGGTGAAAAGTGTCAATAACTTTACCACTTTATACTTACATTCAAACAAGTTCAAGCTATATTCCCGACGCACTGATGGCGTTAAAAGTGTATTTTTCTGTTATTTTCAGCTTTATGTCTACATTAATGGAAGTTGAAAATATAGAGGCTGACAATGAGTCCAGTGAAAAGCTTAATCTCAGATGTTAACTACATAAGTACACATTTCAGTTTCCAAATACACGGTAGGAGACAGCAGAGGAATGTTGAATTAAGAATCGACATCACAGCACTCGGGACAGCCCCATAAGTGCTCGGTCCCCATCTTTAGCAGCAAGTGAAGAGTTAAAATTCCAATGGTACAGTAACTGTCTGATTGTATATCCGTCTCGCCTTTTTCCTGAGTGTCGAGCGTCGGCCAGATCCTCTTGTAACTCCTTGCAGTGCCATTCTCCTCAGACCGTAATGATTTATCTGTGCCTCGGAACTGTTTCCTCGCTTCCAAAGGGCCCTCACAACATCCAGCTTGTCATAAATCAGTTCACCACCAAGTGGTGCAGAACCGGCCAGTCTTTCTATCTGCTCCTTTCCCAACACACCGGCATTACCTGGAGAAAATATCCAAAGGACACTAACTACTCGGGACCTCTGAAGTGATGCTTGCCACTCTGCACGGAGTATGCCTCTCTCCATATGCTTTCTCAACATGCTCTGTGAATCAATCACGGCATGTGTACAGCTGATTTTAAAGTCAGCGGAAAGCAGTAGTGACTGCCTCCACCTCCATTCTCAAACTAGATGTTGTGATATCATATGTATCATATGCCAGGCTTTGTTGCACCAAGCGACGTCCATTTGCTATGAACCCCCATACACTTCGTCTGCCCCTCAACAAAGAGCAATCTGTATAGACAATCACAATCATTTGTTGAACTTCTGATTTTGCAGCACCAGCTGGCCAGTTCTTACACACACGTCCCAAAGTGATTAGAACCCTACACAAGTCTGAAACCTGATCAGACACTTTGACCCACTCCTCTCCTCGCCTTTAAGGAAGAAGTAGACAACGATTCAAGTGGAGAAATATCAGCAGAAGGAATATCTTTAGTTTTTACAATGGTAAAAGTGATCCTTAGGGATAGTTCAGACAAGCTCATCCGTTTAGTGTATTCTGTTATGTTTTAAAAACCCCCCCCCCCCCCCCCCCCCCCCACGCACGCAAACACACAATTCTAGGTTCAATGTAGCTTCAAGCTGCCTTTTAGGAATATTTAAATCTGTACATTATTTGTTTAAACATATTTTGAACATATATATATTCTGTAGGAGGGGCGTCAGCTTGCAGAAACCAACAACATGCTGTTTTTTGAGACATCGGCCAAGCACAGCATAAATGTCGACAAGATGTTTATAGAGGCAGGTCAGTAAAGCAATTTCACCTTTACCTTAGTACAAAACCCTAGACCATAGAAAAGACTAGCAGGCTTGAAATCCTCTGCTTCATTGATGACATCACCTCACTAAACAATTACCTGTTTTTATTTTTAAATTTATAAATATCTAACTCGGAAAAAAAGGTAAGAACTCCGCTAAGACCGGTCCCAAGCCCGGCTGTAAAAGGAGGAGGGTCTGGCTGAACCTGAGTGCTTCATGCGTCTCCGGAAGTAGTGGGTAACCGTGAATCAGCCAGACGGCCTGCATGGAGGCCGCAAGGAGGCAGCCCCTCCACCATGCAAAGGCACAACAGGCCAATCACCTGTTTGCCTTAAACCACGATTACAAGTAACTACAGAGAGAAAACCGGACGGATCTTAACGGCGACGAACTGGCATGGCTTACGGACTACGATTTATGGAACATGGAATATAAGAGGCATTAACGGAAAGGAAAACGAGTTAGTAGGGGAGATGAGGAAAGCAAAATTAGGAGTCTTGGCTCTGACTGAAACCAAGAAAAAGGGGCAAGGAATCACAGATCATGATGGAAGTATGCTTCTCTATAGTGGTGTCCCTATGACGGAGAGAGCCAAGGGAGGTGTTGGCTGCATTGTGGCCAGGAATCAAGTTAGTAACATCAAGGGATGGAAATTCATCTCAGAGCGAATAATGGTGTTAGATCTGAAAGAAGAAGATAAAATTGTCAATTTTGTCATTGTGTACGGGCCAAATGAAGATGAGCGAGTAGATGTTAAAGAAGAATTCTTTGAACTGCTCCAAAAGACCATAGATGACTGTCACGATGAAATTATCCTCCTAGGAGATCTAAATGCCAGAGTAGGAAATGATCACTCTAGATGGGGTGGAGTGATCGGGAGATATGGTGAAGATGTTTTGAATGATAATGGCAAGCGACTTCTCAGATTCTGCAGGGAACAGAACCTTGTCATTACAAACACAAAATTCCCCCACAAGCGTATACATGCATACACAAGATGTGAACCTTCAAAGAATGAAAAATCCATCATTGACTACGCCATAGTTAGGAAAAGTTCTTTCAAGTTTGTGAGAGATGCCAGAGTCATGAGAGGACCAGAGATTGGAAGTGACCACTATCTGGTCACAATAAAGAGAACAACTGAAAGAACTGCTCCAACAAGGCAACACCGACAACTATGCAAGAAACCAAGCAACCAAGAAGGGATGAGGATTAAAGCATACAAGCTAAGAGAGCCAGATATTAAGGCTAGATACCAGGAGCTTATAGTGAAAGCAATAGGAACTGAAGAAGAATCATCAGAGGACACTGAAAACTCTCTGGTGCAGATTCAAGAATATCCTCACAGCAGCTGCAGTAGAAGCATGTGGTGAAGTCCCAAGTGGAAGGCGGGGACACAGGACACCTTGGTGGACAGAAGAAGTCAAATTGAAAATAGGAGAAAAGAAAAGGGCATGGAAGCAATACCTGGCAGCCAGGAACACAGCTGAAGAAATAGAAAAATATAAACAATATGTGGCACTCAGAACAGAGACCAAAAATATTGTGCTTAAAGCAAAACAGAAATCATGGGAAGAGTTTGGAGAAAAGTTGGAAAAGAATGCAAGAGAAAACCAAAAACTGTTCTACAAGACCCTTAAGAACATGAGGAAGGAGAAAGAGTGCCCACTTAAATTCATAAAAGACAAGGAAGGGGCTCTGCTTACTTCTACAAATGATATCATGGGCAGATGGAAAGAATACTTCTCAGAGCTCCTCGGCGCTGAGGGAAGTCATGACCCAGAAATAATGGACCTCACTGCTGAGAAGGAATTCAATCATGGGGAAGATAACATCAGGATGGAAGAAGTGAAGGCAGCTATTGAGAAGATTAAGCTAGGAAAAGCAGCAGGTCATGATGGTATAACACCAGAGATGGTCAAATATATGGGGGTCGCAGGTGAGCGCCTTCTACTGAAGGTTCTCCAGGCAGCCTGGTGTCGCAAAACCATACCAAAAGATTGGGAGATTGCCATCATTATACCTATATTTAAAAAAAGGTGATAACAGACAATGTGAAAACCACAGAGGCATATCCCTCCTCAGCATTCCCGGTAAAAGTTACTCTAGAATTCTTGAGCAGAGACTTAGAAGTCTGGTAGAGCCACAGCTGGACGAGGCCCAGTGCGGCTTCAGAGCAAACCGAAGTACTCAAGACCTTATCTTCACACTGAGACAGATGAGTGAAAAAGCCCTGGAATATAAGAGTGAGATTCACTTATGTTTTTTGGATCTGGAAAAGGCATTTGACAAGGTACCCTGGAACAAGCTCTGGGACTGCTTGGCAGGGAAAAACATCCCAGCACCCCTGATCAGTGCAATACAGAGTTTCTACAAAATGTGCAGAAATTATGTAAGAACAGCAGACCAAAAGTCAGAAGAATTTAAGACCACCAGCGGTGTTAGACAAGGTGATATTCTCTCACCTTACCTCTTCATTCTTATGATGGATGATGTCATCAAGACCTGTAAGGAGAAGACAAAGAAGTACTCTGTAGGGTACTGGAAGATGAGACCAATCTGTATATCAGAGCTGGCTTTTGCAGACGATGTGGCCCTGATAGCTAAATCAGAGGCACACTTTCAGTCCAACTTACTTGTCTGGAAGGAAGAGCTTGAAAAGAAAGGGATGACCATCAGTGTCTCCAAAACTAAAACCATGGTGATCTCAAGAGAGGAGAAGAAACACCAGATCATGATGGGACAGTATGCGTTGGAGCAGGTTAACCAGTTCAAATACCTTGGAGTTGTATTAGATCCAAATGGAGGCATTAAGACTGAGCTGGCTACACGAAAAGCAGCTGCTGGGAGACTCTTCCAGGCCATAAACCGAGGGTTTCTTAGCAAAAGAGAAATTGGCAAGAGGACGAAAATGGCTGTTTACCGCTCTACCTATGTACCAGTCCTGACCTATGGGTGTGAGTCATGGGCAATGACAACAGCTCACAGAAGCCAGCTGCAGGCCTCGGAAATGAGATACCTGAGAAAGGTGGTCCAAGTGACAAGAAGGGACAAAGTCCGCAATCAGACAATACGTCAAGATCTTGATACCCAGCCCTTACTAACCCGAGTGGATCAGTCACAGTTACGATGGTTTGGACATGTGTGCAGAATGGGAGAAAATCGGCCACCATGGCAAGCATGGGAGGCTAAGAACCAGGGAACCAGACCTCCGGGACGACCCAGGGTGCGCTGGGAAGACAACATCCGACAGTCCCTGACTGACAGAGGACTGGAATGGAACAAAGCCAGAAAGAAAACTGCTGATAGAGACGTCTGGCGATCTCTCTGGCAAACCTCTACACCCCAAGGTAGAAGAGGAGCGACTAAGTAAGTAAGTAAGTAAGTAAAAAAAGGTAAGCTAACACAGTAAGGGAAGTAATCAATGAATACTAATTGAGCAAAGAATGAACTGATTTCCTTACCTTTGACTATTTAAAAGTGTTTTTCCCCTCATTTTGGCAAAGAGATCAATGTGACATAATAAAGAAATATGTGACATCTTGGTGAAACTACAATCCATTTCTTTCACGTAAGGAATTTTAGGTGCCGGAAGGGGGGAGGTGGAGGGGTGTTAATAATACTCATCACATCTACACACTGTGCAGTTGCAGTCATGCAAACTGGGCACTGTCAAAAGACACTATGTCAAACAAAACCCATAAAAGCTAGAAAAATTACTTTCTTGGGGCAAAAAGAATAACTTTTCTCTGAACAATTTTTGAGGTAATGAAACTGGATGATGTCATGTTTCATTATCCACATTCTCTTGTAAGATTAGCAAAATTGTAGAACATGAGTATCAGATAGGGGGCTACTACACTTTTCTTTAATACTAAATATAAAAACAGACTATTTTGTGAATTAAACAGGACTGCACATGTGAATGTTCTAACCTCCCAACAACTTCACAAAATTATGTCAAAGTTTCCGCCTGTGCTTGGAATCACTACCGGGATGATATTCAGTACTAAGGATACCCAAAGAATGTATGACTTTTAGGTCTCAATATAATTTAAACTATTATATACTGCACATGATATAATTTAACAAAATTTAGTACATGTTGATACTTGTCTTAAATATTACCTTCTTAAAAAAGAAACCAAAACTGCTCTTACCAAATGCGTTATTATTTTTGCTACATTAATATTTTTTCTTCTGTTTTATTTAACAGCAACAGCCGTATTAAAAACAACACCTAAGCCAGAAGTACAATCAAACAGTGGAGTGTGTCTAGAGTCAGTGGGAGAGAGAAAATTGAAATGTTGCTTGTCTTCTTGATAATTATAAATGAGTCTGTTTGTAAAGGAGACAAAGGTAGATGGGTAAGGAGAGAGAGAGAGGGAGAGAGAGAGAGAAAGCGAGCGAGAGGGAGGGAGAGAAAGAGAGAGAGAGAGATACTAAAATAACACTAAGTGATACAGCAAGTCAAAAGACATAGTATGATAAGAGCAACACTACTAGAACTTGTAATCAAAGTATATACTGTGTAATCATATGCTTATGATAATGTTGCTTTGGTAAATTTGCTCTTACTGACTGAAGTTAATGTAACTCTTCTAGAGGTAACACATGCAGAGAATTTTGACTGCTGAATTAAGAATCCACGTCATAGCACTCGGGACACTCCCATAAGTGCTCTGTCCCCCATCTTCAGCAGTAAGCAAAGAGTTCCAATTCCGATGGTGCCAGTAACTGTCTGAATGTACATCAGTCTAGACTTTAACCACATGTAGAGAAGGGTAGAAAATGTAAACCAGGGCTATTAAACTGGCAGCCCGTTGGCCAAATCGGGTCGCAGAGGCCTAGCAAGTGGCCCATGGATCATCTGCCAATTGTACTGTATTAATGACCTTTCTATGCTGGGGCTTGAGCCTCTGGCCTGCCTCAATCCTGATTTTCCAACATTTTGGCCCTTAAATAAACTTAGCTGAATGGCCCTCATGTAAACATTGTGAAGATAAAATATTTTGAGTTCTGACAATTGGAAAGACTTATACAAAGATTACTTATGAGTTGAGTTGTGCCCAGAACTGACATCATATGAGTCAGGATATTCTCACATTTGCCCATTCCTCATTTTCAGCAGTCACTGCAGAATTTCATGACCACTGTACCTGATGAATACTCATTTAATAAGCAACATCATAGCCTACTGGACATACCGAGTGATGCTGCATTTCGCACAACAAATATCTTAAGGTGTAGTTGCTGACTGTTCCAGTAGCATACTTGTTGTCCACACATCCTAATTCTCTTCTCAAGTGTCCTTTCTTGCCAGATCCATGTCCTTTCTTGCCGGATCCACCGTTAACTCCAAATTCAGATAAGTTTACACCTGTTTTATCTAACACTGTGTCTGTTGTAAGCATGTTGGGTTTTCAAAATGTCTGCCTTGTCCAGGGCCAGTGTCCTTGCTAATGTCTGTTTGTAGCAACAAAAGGATCAGCTCATTCTTTACCTTGCACTCTTGCATACTTCAGACATTAAATTCATGTGAATTCCTGTAATGTTATGGAAAGAGGGACAGATGAGGATAACGCCAAATTTTATATACAACCATTCATTGTGGAATGAAAATATGTCAGTAAACAAGCTGATGCAAATATTCATTAACTGGTGCCTCTATAGAACAGAGGAAATAGTATGAAAGAATCACTAATGTAGAGCTTTGGGGGCAAACTAAATAAATTCAAGTGAATCAATAGTTGAGGAAAAGATCTGGCATTGGAGAGCTCAGAAGTTAAAAAACCTTCATAACAGGATAACTAGAATGTCATTGCACAGGAACCAGGGTCAAAGGAAAATGACTGAACCCCCCCCCCCCCCCCCCCTCCCCAAAAAACCCAACAAAACACACGCACAGAGACAATGAGAAGGGAACTAGCAAAGCTCTGGCTAACTTCTTGACCTGAGATGACCGAGGTGCTATGCTCTCCTGGGGAACAAGGGTACAAACTGATTCGTGATGTTAGAGGCTTAATATAATTGATGTTAGTTGACAGTATGCTTGATGTCATCATCATTATCAGGTGCCTTGCCGACTGGTGTGGGCTGACACACCTCCATGCCTTGCAGCAAGACTGTCAAGAATCTTCTCTCGCTGTCCTCCTCTATCCCTCCTTCCACAGATTTTTCCAGCGGTCACGACTTGTTCCATTTTCCCTCTTCTCATAACATGGCCGAAAAATAATGACCCTCCTTCTGATGTCTGCGATAATTTATATTCGGGCTCTCGCCTTTTTAAAAACCTCTTTTTTGGCTGTCCAAGGTATTTTAAGCATTCTTCTCTAAAACTGTATCACTGAGGCCTCAAGAAATTGTTTGGCTTTTCTAACATTTAATGACAGAGATATATTACATAAGATGTTCTTTATTTTAAAAAATGCAGTTTTTGCCTGTCCTATTCAGTTTCTTATCTCGGTGATGCATCTTCCATCTGATGTTATCCATGAGTCTAGATACTTAAATTTCTGGACTTGTCCCAAAATAACACCATTGACTTTTATTACACATTTTGGAATAATTATTTTCTTTGATACCACCTTTAATTCTGTCTTCCCATTATTCAAACTGAGGCCCATTCTTGAACTTTTTACCATCACAATGTCTATCATTTCCTGTAGCTCTTTTTGACATTGCTATCACTTTCATTTGTAAATGGAGGTCCATCACTGTAGCTACAGAGTTTTGTGCGGACTGCAACACAGGCTGACACTGCCTTATCAGCTGTCCATTCTGGTGGCATAGCACATGGTTTATGACTGTGTGCAATGATATTCTTTAATAGCTATCTGAAACTTAAAATACCCGAGATAACATTCACAGACAATTAGTGAAACTTGTCTAAAGCCTACAATATATAAAGGTTATATTTACAGACAGTTAAATTTGATTAAATCACCTTTGATCACTGGCATCTTAAGAGCCAATAGACTAAAGTGGATGGGGCATACTGAAAAAATGTCGAATGACAGAGAAGTAAAAACTGTATGCACAAGGGAGATGAATGGTCGTAGACCACAAGGCAGACCAAGAAGATGATGAAGAGATAATGTCCAGGCAGACCGGCAAACACTTGATGTCACTAACTGGAAAGAGAAGGCCAACTCAGGAGATGAATGGAGGCAGGTGATATCTGCAGCAATAAACCTCAAGGGCTTAGAAAGCTGAAGTAGAAGTTAAATTTGTCTGTAGTATAAGAATGCATACTCTTTGTGTGGGTTATAGGGCACCATAATGGGGGGGGGGGGGGGGGGGAATAACTGACCTATGCCCCCCCCCCCCACCTTAACAAGAATGTCATAAAAGGTGTCTAATTAGGGATGTTTCCATTGAAGTCGAAGTGCACCTGCCTGAGACGCGAGGAGCCAAGTCTACACACACAAAAGCCAGATCTGTAAAACAGATGTGCACACAAAACTCGTTCTGTAACAAGACTGAAATCTAGAGGTGGACAAACAACAGGAACTGTCTGCCAGAATTGACAGCCGGTGAATACCCAGATGAAGAAGAGACATTTACTAAAAAAACTAAACCACTATTTTCCTCTCCTCAAGTGATTCAGACAAATGGTGCTGTCCCAGCTGTTTTATAGACCAACTGACACTCAATGAGTGATGTAGTCAATCTCCCCCCCCCCCCCCCCCCCCCCCCCCCCCCCCCCCCCCCCCCCCCCCGTCATCTTTATTTGGCAGGACATTTTCTGATACCAGTCTTAGCTTTGGTCAATGTGGAAGCCAAAATCAATTTAAAAAAAAAATAGTTTCCATTATCTTTAATGGGGAAAATTGTCTCAGATCTTAAACAATTTGACATTCAAATGCTGTCTTAGAATGGATTATGTTTGAATTCTTAAGTACCACTGTACTTTTATGAAAAGACAAAAAGGTATCAAATATGAATAGTCTCTCAACATTAGTAGATTTTGAAGAAATAATTTGATTTTTTTAATCCTCTGAGAATAATTTACAAAAAAAAAACATATTGTGCAACAAGAAGCAGACATAAAAATTAACAACCCAGTGGAAACTTTTCAAAACATTAAACAGGATGTTATTAAGGGACATTTACTATCAATTGAATTATTCAATTTGTACAGTGAAATAACAATAAGATCCATATGGTTAAGGGACTAAGAAGCTTTCTGACATGACAGAAGTGACATTTTGCAAAAGACTGCTATGTAATGGTGATGATCATGACTTTATCATATATGCCAGGAATATCAGCTGGCAGGCCTACTATGAACAACCTGTGGTGTGATAAGCTGATAATATATAGTTTTGACTGCTGAAAATGAAACACAGCTGCAAGAAGTGATGGATATAATTGTAACGGAAAGTGAAAACGAGCATCTTAGTTTTAACTGTAAAAAAACATAAATAATGGTAATTACAAAAATATTTTAAAAATTGGACACTCCAAAATGCAACATCGAAGTCAATCGGACAATCCTCAAGCGAGCTGATATTTTCAAGTACTTGGAAGTTAAATGTGTGAAGCTGCAGTGGTAAAGTGGCTAGACACTCCCCTGCAGATCTGAAGGGTATGGGTTCAGGTCCTGACAGAGCCAGAATTGTTAAAAAAGTGACTTTGGCTCTCACCCAAGTTGACCCAGCCTTAAATGGGTACCAGGTAAAGTCCTGTGAAGCTTGAGTGATGTTGAACACATTGGTCTAATAAAATATAGGTTTAATAAAATACACCTAAAGATGTGGAAAAGGGTTCTAAACTAAATTAGAAAAGTTAAAGCAAAGGCAGCATTTCACAAAATGAAGAATATTTAGGCAATCTTACTTTGTTGATTGAGATAAGAAAGGGAATTCTGAAGAGCTATTTAAATTATATCCTGAGACACAAGAGTGAATCATAAATACTCACAACAGAAATGAAATGTTTACATACTATACTAGGTGTAAGAAGGAAAGATTGACTTGTACCACAGACAGCAGTGTTAAACAGATACAACAGTAGCAGATCCAGAGGTCCACCATGCAGAAATATCAGAAACACTGAAAAGTACTTAAAGCGAAGAGAACAGAAGGGCCAGTTTCAGATATCTTTTCCTGCCTTGACGCCGCAAGGAATTCCAGAAGCAGAAAAAAGAAGAAGAAGAATCATAGACAGATGGCCAGTTAGTAAAAGGTTTGAAAGCTGCAGACATGTGGTTTTTATAGATGAATGATGAGAGAACACCCTGGTAGATAAAATGAGTAATGAAAATGTATTGAAAGAAACTGACTCATGAAGAGAACAGACAGCCCATGTCAGAAGGAGAAATTCTACATTCTTTAATCATGTCAGGAGAAGAAGGAAAATTGGAGTGCATCGTGACAGAAGGGAAAAGAGGCACAGGAAGACCAAGAGAGAAAATGCAGGACTGTCTGGCATCAAGGAATGGAATATCATCCGTGTCACAGCTGATTGTAAGTAAATGAGACAGAAGACGGTGGATAGACTGACAAACAAAACCAAAAGGCATGGACTGTAAAAGAAAAGATGATACTGTTATATTGTGCTATAGGGACACATGGGAATTACAGCGATGGCAAGTGTAACTAGGATAAGCCTTCCACAATTACAGCATGGGATTTCAGGACCACACTGCTGTCGTCATGTATTTTGTATGCTTCTTCCCGGAGGCTCAGCTTGTAACCTGCTGCAATTATTTTCTCATTTATCCCTATCCCCTTTCAGATTTTCCAACTCCATACAGAATGGACCATGCCAATCTCTTCCTATAAATCCACCTTAATACTTGTACCCTTCATGTCCCATCTGCACAAATCTTTATATCATAGAAGCCAGCAATCAGTGTTGATTAATTATATTAAAAGTAGTCAACCAAAATATAGTGAGTGTGTTTGGACAGGAAGGCCATTGATAGATCCACCCGAGATAGCAGAAAGATGGAGGGAATACTTCAATGAGCTCTTTAATTCTCTAGGAGATCATCAGGAAAGAACAACTGAAGAGCACAGAGCAACAGTGTTAGAACCACACATACTAATGGATGAAATAGAAAAAGTCATTAAGCAGTCACCCAAATATAAAGCACCAGGAGCTGATAGATTACCAACAGAAAAAATTCAAACAGCAGGTGAAAGCAGCATCAGATGGCTTCACAAAAATATTTAATGCAGCATGGGTACAACAAACTGCCCCTATTGATTGGCAACATGCAATAGTTATACCATTGTGGAAGAACAAAGGAAGCAAACGAGAATGCTGCCAATACCAAGGCATCTTTCTTTTAAGCCATGTTGGCAAAATGTATGCCAAGATAATAGAAACAAGACTGAGACCAGTGATAGAACCACAGCTGGCAGAAGAACAGATGGAATTTAGGAGAAATAGAAGCTGCACAGATGCAATCTTCACACTTAAACAGTTAATAGAAAAGAACATTGAATACAATAAGAACTTATCTGTGGCATTCGTAGACCAGGACAAGGCATTTGACAGAGTCGACAGACAATTATTATGGAAAGTAATGGCAAGATATGGAGTAAGCGAACACCTCAACGAAGTGTGCAAAAGTTTATACAGGGATTGTAGAAGTGTAGTTAGAATAAATCAGGGAACATCTCATCCATTCACAGTAACATCTGGAGTAAGACAGGGGTGTGTCTTATCACCACTGCTGTTTATCACCTTCATCAACAGTATATGCAAGAATGCCAAGCCCATGAATGAAAATGTTAGTAAGATCAACGAATTACTCTTTGCAGATGACCAGGCCTTGATAGCAGATACATTTATGAAATTGCAACAATATCTAACATCCATGAATGAAGAATGTAAAACAAATAATATGAGAATCAACACTGAAAAGACAGAAGTAATGTCAATAGGAAAAAAGAAGACAGATCTAAACATAGCAATAGAGTGCAAAGGCATTAAACAGGCATCTGAGTTTAAATATCTGGGAACTACATTTACCGAAGATGGGAAATTGGATAAAGAAATTGACATTAGATGCAGTAAAGCAAACCAAGTATTGGGACAGCTAGACCCTCTTACAGCATAAGACAATCCCAATCAGCACAAAGAGACATCTAATTCAAAGCATATTTATTACAACTCTGTGCTACCAGTGCCAGACATGGTCACTCACAACAAACCATAAAAGAAAATTAGTAACCATGGAAATGAGATGTCTGAGAAGGGCTGTAGGAGTGACCATAAGAGATAAGATCAGGAATGAGATCATAAGAGAAAAAGTCGGCACAGAACCAATTCTGGATTACATAAGAAACCAGCAAGTGAAATGGTTTGCCCACTTAGAGAGAATGCCTTGTGACATCATACCATACAAAGCATACATGGAAAGAGAAGAAGGACGTAGAGCAAGAGGTAGACCAAGAACAAGATGGAAGGATAACATCAGAGAAACTCTACAACAGCACGATGTGCCTATGGTCGAGGCGGCCAGAAGAGCTAGAAACAGAACCTTATATCTCCCTCGACACCCACAGCGGTAAAAGAGGAAGTGAAGAAGAAGAAGAAGAAGTATTTGGACAGAATGAGCAAAGGACTATATTTTGTCTAACCAGTGATACATTTTCCATTGAAAACACTGTGAAACATTCAGTACATATAAATCAACTAGGGAGGTATTAACTTCTTTTTCTTATATATCTTACAACATAAATGTCATGCTAAGCACAAAAAGGGGTACAACACAACAGGCAAAATTAAATTATCAATTTGGTCTGTGAAGGCCTCGACTAAGGCACTAAGACAGATTCCAGCAAATACATTCCACCAACTGATGATAAATATAATACCTGAAAGAAAATCAAACGATGAATTATTTATCAAGTTGTTTAACTGTTGTTGTTTTTTTAAACAGTTCTTTCAGTTATAAAATGCTATAATATATTTATAATGTGTAAATGTAAAGTGCGGTATTGTGCCTTAAAGGTTAGTGAAATGGTTTCACAATGTAAACCACAACGTTTACCAGGGCTCAATTCCTGCAGTGGATGATACATAAAAATCCAATCTCATGGCAGTGGTATGAGAGCCACACTATGGAAAAAATTGGGACTTCATCTTGTAATATTCCTGCAATTAGCAGTGTAGCCAACCTCCACTGAGAAGATGGCAGAATTATTTTAAAATCTAAATATTTGTTTATAATATAATCAACAATACTATTTATCAAGTTTTACTTCACAAATTCATTATTTAAAATTACAACAATTAATTTAAAGTAATGGGGGAAAAAAACCTTCCCTAAAGTGGTAGAAAGTGACAGAAAAAGCATGAACAACAAACTGAACAATCTAAATAGAGAATGGAAAATAGTCTGTGACAAAAATGAACATGACATCAATGATGTAAACTTAAATGTTACAAATAAAAATACCATTAGCAGATCTTTGTATCTCTCACAGATGTAGCTTTATAGACAAGTGATGAGAACACCCAGGGCAAATCAAAAGAGTAATGAAGATGTTTTGAAAGAAACTGACTCATAATGAGCACTGATTGACCACAAAAGAAGGAGACAATCTACATTATTTGGTCATGTCATGAGAAGAAGAAAATTGGAGTACATCGTGATGGAGGGAAACTTAGAGGGGAAAAGAATCAGAAGGAGATGGAGGGAGAAGATGCTAGACAGTCTGACATGATGGCATGGAGGATCATCTGTGTTAGAACTGAATGAAAGTACACAAAACAGAAGAATTTGGATAGACATGACTACCAGCACTACAAGGCATGGACTTTAAGTACAAAATCCATCCACTGACTTTAAGAAGTGGCAGTAGTTGCCACAGCATGTTTAGGTTGTTTCCTTCTGATAATATGGCTTAACCGATTACTGCATTTTTATATTTGTGAAAAGCCTCTTTCAAAACATTTAGATTCCTGTGTGGGTTCTGGGACCCTATTATAGTGAAAACAGGAAAAGACCCACTGCCTACCCAAAAGCATGTCATAAAAGTCGACTAATTGGGAGCTTTCTTTGAAGTCGGAGTGCATCTGCCTAAGAGGCAAAGAACCAGCAGTCTGTGTACAAATTAGTCAGATCTGTAAAAATGGATGCACACGCAACACTCAGGTTCTGACAGGACTGCAATCCAGAAGTGGATGAACAACCATAACTTTCCGCCAGAGCTTAAAGCTGGTGAACGCAAAGAAGAAAAAAGAAAACATTTAGATTACTCCTTTTGACTTCCCATGGAATTTTCAGAATTCTGTAGAACCACACTTCTGAAACCTCTGATATTTTTGTGTGTGGCTGCATAATTAATCTGATTCACAGTCATGCGCTAAAACTGACTCTACATGCAAAGAATTCTTTTCATACATGCAATGACAAGGAAAGTACAATCATATATTAATTCTGACATACAATGCCAAATTATTCAAAGAAAAGCTTGATAATACCTACCTAAATGGGATCCTGCAAGAACTAACATCATTTGTGACAAAACTGAGCAAAGTGTACCTTCGACCGTTTTCTTACTCCCTGCAACATTTGTATCATAGCAAATATAGATTGAAACTGTAAAATGTGCTTGTGAAGTTTTCATCAAATGCAGATAATATCCATTAGATATTGCTATCATCATCATCATCTAGTACCCTGTCAAATAATATTGACAGTCAGGCTTCTCTATATTATATCTCCAACAGAAAGAATGAATTCATTTGCTGATGTTCCCCGTGTGGGCTTCAGGGCTCCATTTTGGAGAACAAAAAAAAAAGATCCGCTGCCCCCTCCCCCTTCAAGCATGTCACAGAAGGCAACTAATTAGGGTTTTTTCTTCAAAGTAGGAGTGCATCTGCTTTAGAGGCAAAGAATCAACAGTCTGCAAACATATAAGGCAGATTAGTAAAGCACTGATCAAATATCCTACTATATGACAATCCTCAGTTCAAACATCTGTCGAAAAACCTACTGACTAGGTTCATATGTCCGCCAGTCAGGTGTCAGGATGTTGTAATCAGCGGAGCAGCCAGCACACTGCAAATTGTTGAGACTCAGCCACAGATTTGTTTCCAGCTTAAACAAGCTACATCTCCTGTGGATGGTGTCTCAGGTTTCTATCCTACTGCACAACAGCAAATTTGTTTATGTCCAACCATCAAATGTCTTTCTGCATTAGTGACAATGTTCAGAATTCTGACCACCAAAGGTCCCACTGTGTGACAGACAAGGCTCACATGTTTGATACCACTGGCCCCACTCATTGAAGTGTTGGGACCAAACTGAGAACTCATGCCTGATGCATGTTCTTCTGATACTGTCGTGTTAGGTGTCCTGATGCAACAACGTTAAAGCTGTCTAATGTGCTGAAAGAGATTGTGCCCATCCGAGTGTTCATCTAAGTCCTTGACCTGTGGGCTGTCCCCTGTTGATCTCTAAAAGTGTGTAGCCCGTGATGTTCAGTGGGAATACATGGATGTTAGGTTAAACATTTGTGCAGGATGTGACAATTCCTTGGGTGAGCCCAGAACCAGAGATTCATGTGTCAGCTCTGCATTATGGAAGCCTCCTTGGATGGCAGGGAATGCCCATGATTTGCCCATACCTACCAGTCTAAATGTGATTGCCCTGGATAGGTTCTCCAGGGGCAGCACCAGTAGATAAAGTGACAAAAAGGATACTACACAAATGAGGCTAGGTAATTTCCCACAAAACCAACCAGAAAGGCTAACCCAGTGAAAAAAATGCCTGATGAAGTAGGATGTGTCGACCGAAAGGTACAAATATTGCAGATGTGCTGTAAACAGGCACAACACAATTATGTCACTCGAATGAAAAGAAAGAAGAAGAAACAATATAGAAAGTTTTTCCAACCAAAAGGGATGATTTTAAAACAATAATCAGGACATTTTCAAACAAATAGATGATTATTAAACCACTCAGGAAATTGTTCATGTCAAACTGGAAGATTTTCAAACCATGTAGATGCTTTTCAAATCAAACTAGAGTTGTTTTTTAAACGCTACAACTTCTTGGATATGCAGGCCCTTTTGGGTAATTTTTGGAATAAAAGTAATGTAATTCCTTCTAGAAAGTTCTTTAACGATGTCTATACATAGGTAAGCACTGCAATCCCAATATTGTAGGGTCAAGTAAACTACCTGAAGCAACCAAAAGTGAGCAATGAATGACACAATGCTTTTCCTGGGTAATGATGGTGCAAGAGAACTTCCTTCGCACAGAAAAAGATCCTAATTTAGCCTGCGCTATTTGTTTGTATTTAACACTACTGGTACCATGACACACAGGGTATGGCAGACACATGATTCACAATATGCACAATAACCATGCAGATTTTAGAGTAGCCTAACCATCATAATATGACTGATTATACATTAGATTATTTATACTTGGGAAAAAACCAGTTACTCAAAGAAAGCAGAATTTCAAATTTACCTGGCCAGTGATTCCGACCTAAGGCTTTTCCTGCAACACAAGCAACTGTGTCACCTACACCCAGAGACAGGATGCCACTGTACAGTTCCAGAGGGGCTGTGTTCGCTGTAGAAACAATATAAATTAACCATTTTTGGCAACTATTAATTCAGAGATGAGAAACAATTTTTTTATATACTTAATTATTTATAATCTTTTCATGTACGATTAGTTATCAGGATACCGTTAGTTCATCAACATCAAAACTGATTGTCCTGATTTCTTCTTCCTCTTCTTCTATGTTCACCGGCTGTAAGCTCCAGTGTAAAAGTCCTGGTTTTTCATCCACTTGGACAGGCTTTGTGCCAGGGCCTGAGTTTAGTGTGTACATCTGTTTTACTGGCTTACTTGTGTACAGTTAGTTGCTCCTAGCTGCTCAGGCAGATGTCCTCTGACTTTAAAGGAAGCTCCCAGTTAGTCAACTCCTATGACATGCTTGTTGGGTGGGTCTATTCTTTATTCCCAACAATGGCGCTCTGGAACCCATACAGGAAAGGACCAGTCTCATCAACCCCTGTGTCCCAGTCTTGAAATGAAAATCTGCACTTGAGTTCTCTGAGATAATATGAAAAAAGGTATATTCTTAGAAATGATTGTCTTAATATGACATTCTCTAAGTTCCCTTGTTGAAAAAATATAAGTGTTATACCACGGAAACATAGAAGAGGCCCTAGACATGACCACAGATGAATTGCAAGGGAAGTCACTCTCTTTCTGGGCCCGTCTTCAACACTTTTAACCTAAATTTAATTATTTCAAAATCACAACAGAGGTGAGATTTCTTAGAAGAGCTGCTGGTGTAATAAGAACAGATACAAATCTAAAACGAAGAAATCAGAAGAAGGCTAGGCCTGAAGCAATTCATACGGTTTATTAAAGAACAACTGATGAGATAGTGTGGCCATCCAATGAGAATGCCCTGGTACCAGCTGCCACAGAGAGCAACGCTGAAGAAATCAAATGGACACAGAGTAAGGGGAAGACCATACAGAAGAAGATGGAACAATGGGATCAAGAACAGTCTTAAAGAAGTTAAGGCCAACTTATAAAATGCATCAAAAAAAAGCACACAAAAGATCCTTTCTACTACCACCAAACACCCCCCCCCCCCCCCCCCCCCCCCCACTCTTCAATGAAGGAAGTGGAGGATGAAGAGAAGAATAAGAGGATTAATTTAGTTGTTGCCTCTCACTCTCAGTTCTCTGCTGTTTGCATCTTGATGAATCCAAAGATTCGTCATAAGACCTTCCCAAAATATTTAACAAGGCTTCATCTCTTTTAGTTGTGCTAACAGCCATATAAGACAACTGGTCTTATCAGCGTTTTATTTACTGTAATCTTTTAGCAAGTTTCGGAGGGCATAGTCTACTTTATTTCCAGACTATTTCTAGACTCAAGGGAAAGGCAAGATGGATGTAAAAATAGACAGTTACTGGAAACAATGGAATTGGAACTCTTGGCTTGCTGCTAAAGATGGGGACGAGTGCTCATGAGTGTTAAGGTGTCAATTAGCATATTTTTCCTCATAGTAAATTGGAACAATGATGAAGAAATTGAAAATGTCACAAACTTTGAAAATCTAGGCTCTATAATAAATAGCAATGGAGATTGTGTGACAGAAATTAAAAGGAGGATGGCCATAGCAATGCAAAGATTAAACAGGATTAAAAGTCTATGGTTAAGCACCAGCAAGGATATCAAAATTAGAATTTTGAGAGAATGCATCTTCCCTGTAGTAACACACAGATGTGAGTCATGGACTATCACCCAATCCTTAAGAAAGATAATAGGGTCTTTTGAGCTAAAATGCTACAGAAAGATTCTCAGAATATCTTGGACAAAGAAGAGGAGAAATACTGACATCTTGAAAGATCTGAACATCAAGTAAGATTGGCTAATAAACAGTATCCTGTCTCGGAAGCTGAAAGATTTTGATCATATCATGCCCCATGACGAATTGGAAATAAATAATAGCAGAAGGCATGGTACCAGAAAGGAGGGATAGAGGCCAACCAACACGAAGATGGAAACAGGATATAAACGACTCCTTGAGTATGAAAGTACATAAGTTGGAAGAGCTGGCAAGAGACCAAGTTTCTGTCAAGCAGACCGTGATGAGAGCAACGTTCTGCAAAAGACCTGCTAAAGATAATATTGGAACAGTTAAGGTTTGCACCCAAGCACTTGTATGTTTTTGATTTGACTGTTAATTTATCTATAAAAAATTAGAGTTTAGTATCATTTGCTGGTTGCCCTACTACATAAAAAGGGGTCCCTTACTTACTTCTCTTTTGTAAAGACATTCAACTTACGTGAGAACAGGTTCCGTGAGATCCACAGAGGCAGTGACAGTCCTATAAGCAGGTATATGTGCGTCAGAAATATTAGGCCTTGATCTCGATCATCAACAAATATCCTCAAAATGGCATCCAAATGTTCACCCAAAACAGGAACATGCAGAGCTCGGGCAGCCTTGATAATGAATACAAATAACTGCCATTAGAAGTAGGTAAATAGATGTTGATAGTCAGTATGATAGTTTCAACCTCCAGATTGGAGGACCAGGGAGTCTCTCTTTGTCTTTTCTTTACTCTTTGACACGATCAGCTTGGGAGGCCTTGCTGCTAGTTACACAACCACCAGCATAGCTCTAATAATAAAAGTAAAGGACCCTTTTCCACGCCCTTCAGGGCTAGACCTATATATATTATTTTGTTTTTAGCTCTGATAATGCTCGGGGGGAAAATCCTGCCTCCTAGGGATGGAACCTAGACCACCGTCTCAACAGGCAAGCATAGTAACAACTATATAACCATGACTCAACCATAATTTCTTCTTATAAATCATGCCATGTAGCGCTGGTAGTCATGTGTAACCATAACCTTCTGTCACATGAACTTTTAATCAGATCTGACACAGATGATCTTCCAAACCATGATATCAAACTATCTAGCATCTTCTCCCTCTGCCTATTCCCCTCCAGCTTCCCCACTGTCATAATGCACTCAAGTTTTCTCCTTCTCATGACATGACAAAGAATATAGGTTGTCACCTGGTGTGCCCAATCGCATGTCTTCGTGAGTCAGTTTCTTTCAAGTATCATAATTTACAAAGTACAAACTACAAGTCAGTCAATCACACACACACACGCACACACAGAGAGAGAGAGAGAGAGAGAGAGAGAGAGAGAGAGAGAGAGAGAGAGAGAGAGAGAGAGAGAGAGAGAGAGAGAGAAGGAGTTTCTTACCTCCATAACAATGAACAGGCCTAAAGCTGCCACCGAAGCCAGTAGCAGAAGTCGCACATCTAACAGTAAGCCAGGGAAGTACACAAGGACAATAAAAGCATGAAACACCTTCCTATCCGTGGATAATACTGTATATTTCATGTCCTGAGAACTAATCACGTTGCTATTCACTGTACCGGTGACCACTTTCTTATCAACTGTATTCACACAGTGATGTTCTGACATGCTGTCCCTGTCCTCACATTGAAAACTGTGAATAATTGCCCAGACAACTGCTACAGCCAAAAGAATAATCCATGCCAAAAGCAAGAAGATCTGAAATAAAGCAAGCCATGAATTGTTACTTCAAATAATAAATATGAGATCAAGGTAATTTTGTGTAACTGATAATGAAAACCAAGAAACTGAGTATAATAACAAAATATTTAAAAAACAACTTTTTAACAAAATAAGCCTTAATTTAAAATGTATACAATAATGAATACACTCAAATGCTAACATTAATTTACCATACAGTTTAATTGAGACAAAAGATTAAATAATTATCTTTACAATATTCACCTAAAATCTTATATCATGACTAATAAAACCAAAGAGTACCCTTGATAGCAAAATGCATATAATTACATTCATTCATTCAGTAGCATGTCCCTCGCGGAACCTCGCTGCCATAACAACCCTCCGGAAAACCTTCCTATCATGAGCAAGATGTCCTGCGTCTGATACACCCATCTGGAGATCATCTGCCACATCCTGCACCCATCTTCTCCTTGGCCTTCCTCTTCCTCTCTTCCCAGGCATATACCCCTCCATTATTGTTCTCTCTAGACCTCCATGACGTTTCAAGTGACCAAAATATTTCAATTTTCTTTGTTTTATTGTCTTTACTAGCCAACCCTCTTCAATATTCAGCTCTTGAAGTATGGATGCATTTGTTCTTTTCTTTACCCAAGATATTCTTAGAACCTGTCTGTAACATTTATATTCAAATGCATTTATGCGCTGTTCCGCTTGTTTAGTAAGTGTCCAGGTCTCACATGCGTATGTTGCAATGGGAAAGATGCATGCTCTTAAAAATCTGACCTTTGTAATTCTATCTGTACAATTCCATAATTTATTCAGTTGTTTTAGTCTTTGAAGAGCAATTGATAGTCGCCGTTTGATTTCTTTCATTGTGTCACCATTGTTGGTAACCAGTGACCCATGATATTCGAAATTTTCCACCACTTCCAATCTTTCCTCATTAACATATATATCCTTCTCCATGGCAGTTTTGTTTGTATGCATTATCTTTGTTTTTGCTGTGTTAAGAAATAAGTTATGATTTTCACTATTTCTTTGGAGTGAGGTTAATAAGTTTTCTAAACCATTTTGTGATGTTGATAGTAATACTGTATCATCAGCATAACGAATTTCTGGTATTTCATGACCACCGATGTTTAGGGCATCATATTGTTTATATCATCTCTTACATTTCTCATTATATTTTCGGCGTACATGTTGAACAAATACGGTGACAGCACACATCCCTGACGGACTCCTTGCTTGATGCCAAACCAGTCTGATGTCTCTCCATCTATTCTGACTGCTGCTTGTTGGTCTTGATAGAGCATTTTAATGAGCTGCACTATATGTGATGGAAAGCCCATATTCCTCATGATTTCCCAAAGCTTCTGATGTTATAATTACATAGTATACACATATATAAAAATGTCAAGTGTAAACATTCTTATACTTCTGACAAGTCAAATAAATTATTATATATTATTAGTCAGGCACTCCATACTTTTTAATTAGTCGTGGTATTTAACAGTAGAATTTGACTGAACATACAAAAGTGACCATAATGTAATAAAAATATGTCAGCAGTAATGAAATATGAATGCGCGCAAGCTTTAAAAAATGGAACTTTACAACATTCATCTTTTTGATTCATCTTCAGAGTATAGGTCCTAAACCAACCATACCAAGGCCTTTGATATAAATAAAATGTGTAGAAAATCTTATTTATTTTCCAAAATACTCATACTAGGTATTTTTTTAAATTTGGATAAGGGATGAAGGCTGTAGTATACATATATGATCACTTGCTGCTATATGCTATGGCCATGAATTAACTCAGTAAAAACTGCTCTAATGTAGAATTAGGCTTGAAGCGAGTGTCACAGTGCTCAAGAGAGTGATTGGAAGCCTGTTACCAGCTTCCAGAGAGACAATCAGCACCCCTTCAATCTGACAGACATGATCTGGAAAAGACTGAGTACCTACCAGCCTGCCTTGAATGGAATTATGCTCTTCCTTCACAGCAGGAACTGCACATCTTTGTATTATATGCATACATTAATCAGTAACAACATACATGAACATATGTAAATTACCTTAGTACAAGACAGCCGCCATGGTGTAGTGGCTAGACACTCACCTGCAAATCGATAGGTTATGGGTTCAGTTCCTGACGCAGCTAAACCTTTTTCAAAAAAGACCTTTGTTCCCAGCTCGACACAGCCTTGAGTGGGTACCAGGTGCAGTCTGGGAAGTAAAGGTGGCCGGCATGATGCTGACCACATCACCCTTCAAGTGCTGACTGGTCTATAAAATATAGGTCTTTATACCCAATACACATAAAGGAAAAAGAGTGCTTTAGGTTACTTTACTTACCTTGGTACAAGAAGATGAGACAAACTTCAATAACCACAGCACAGGATTTTCACCAAAGACTGATCGAAGCAGCAGCAGAGATAATATGGCCATGACTACATAGACTGCTAAAAACTGCCCCAGGGATGAATACGCTGTTGTCCAGTAAACTATCACTGTTGCAATCACAACTGCTGTTACAAGAGTCTGTAAGAAAAACATAACATTTATAACTGCACTATAATTAATGTGTCCTCAACAAATGATGATATACAATAAAGATTTTAAATATTCTATTTATCTGCTAAGTATATCTACTTCTTTTTCTTATGTTGCACTATGGCTATAAGTAAGAAAAATACCCATGCATTATAAAAATTACGAGCGAGAGAACAAAGGACTAAACAAATTAACCTGTTTACTCTTTCAGTAATCGGCTCTGTGGCTAAGTCGATGCGAACGCTTCGCTTCGTAATGCCGGGATGCCAGGTTCGATCCCAGCTGCGGGCAATACGCCTTGCGTTGGTAAGACAGTGGTATCAAGAAAGCCGACCGTCCAGAAAGCAATGGCAAACTACTGGATGTAACTTGCCTAGAGAAACCACACAACAGCCAGGGGCTGTTGGGGTTGGTTCTGCAACGTCCTGTAAAGGATTCGCAACTAACTTAACTCTTTCAGTCCCAGGTGGTTTAGCATCAGAGGCCCAAGGGATATGGTCAAAAGAGACCTAAAATCAAGCGTATAGGGCATAAAAGGCTAGACCTATATTTTTATAGACCAAACGGCACAAGATAGGTGATGTGGGCAGCATCACAACGGCCACCTTTACTTCCCGAGACTGCACCCGGTACTCACTCAAGGCAGGGTCAACCTGGGAGTCAAGGTCATTTTTGAAAAAAGTCCGGCTCTATCAAGGAATGAGCCCACCACCTTCCGATCCGCACGAGAGCGTCTACGCTACGCCACAGCCATTCCCTTGTTTGAAGTCACCTAATTTTTAATAACTCTCCTTATTTCTAGTTTCTAATTAAGAATGTATGATGAACAAACTGTAATTTGCTGACTGGCCTGAACAGATAGTCTCCTCATGTGTTCTGGGGTTCCACTGTGGGGAAAAAAGAATATTCTCGCTGTCCCCGTAACAAGCATATTCTAGAAGTAGACTAATCAGGATGTTTCTTTTGAAGTTGGAGGCATCTGCCTGAGAGGCAAGGGATCAACAGTCTGAAAACAAATAAGCCAGATACGTAAAATGGATGTGCAAAAAAAAGTCAAGTTCTGGAAAAAGACTTAAGTCCAGAAGTGGATGAACAACCAGAACTTTTCCCAGAGTTTACAGACAGTGAATGTGAAGGAGAAAAACAGATACGAAAGAAAGACAAATTGTGTTAGAGATTGTTTTAAAAAAAGGGGGCGGGAAAGCGGCAGTGGAGGTAAGAGAGTGAGTGGGTGGGGGGGGGGGGGGGGGGGGGGGGTTAGTATTGAGGAAGGGTTGGAAGGGACAAACAGAGCACAGATTCACAGATATGATGAATAACTTCAAATTTCCCATATAATGTAAGAGTAAATTTTTAAAAAAAAACAGAAAATGAATAAAAATAGTCAAAAGCCTGAACATAATCCATGATCTGATTACCTACACAGACAAACCAAGCCAGCTGTATGTCTTCCTTGTCAAGTTTGTGTACCTACAGAAAATACAAACACTTCATGAGTCTGACCAACAGATATTATATTCTATCACACTACAGATCTAACATTTTATATATGTGTTGTTTATTTTGTGTGGCACAGTGTTTTCTTGTGCTTCTTAGCATTCACTGGCTGTAAACCCTGGCAGAAAGATCTAGCTGTTCATCATCTTTTGGACTTTCATCTTGTCCAAGAACTTGAATTTTGCTTGCACTTCTATTTTACCATCTGGCTTATTTATATGCAGAACGTTGAATCCTTGTCTTTTAGGCAGATGCAATCCATCTTCAAAGAGAACACCACTTATTTATTGCCTCCTATGACATACTAATTAGGGGGCAGCAGGGCTATTCTTACCCCTTCCTCCTCAAATATGGCCCTACAACCTACATGGAAAGGTGGTATAGTGATCAGGTGCCTGTTAACTAACATTGTTACCAGACTCAGTTGCCAGTTATGGCATTATTTCTTCTTTTTCTTTTCATTCTCCTCTTCTTCCACCACCTTCTTCTTCTTCTTTTTCTTCTGCACTCATGTTCAGATATCAACTTGAATCTATTTAAAGAAAGTAGTAGCCAACTTGAGGTAACTTATAACGATTAAGAGTTTGTCCTCAAATGTAGGTAGTACTTGCCAAAATGAGTTTCTCCATTCTGCATATATTAATTTATTTTTGTTCACTTCTTTGGTTAGCCATTAAATTTCAGATGGTAAGGTGTCTACAATTCTTTTAAAGACCTAGTGGCTGAATGAGCATAATTTTCATCAACCCTGATTATAAGCTGAAAAATATAGACCCAGTAATGAATTCCATTGCATGTTAATGATTTATATGAGCAATATGGCATATAGTTTGTACATAAAAACAGTTACGCTATTCAATCAATCAATCCTCATCATGCCCACAGGCACATAAGGCAGAGACAAACTGATGCCACTGAATTTGATCCTGAGCCATCCTCTCTATCTCCAGTTTTGTCCTTTTGAACTTGAGTTTAGCCTCAAAAGTTCACCTGTCTGTTTCCAAGTTTATGTTCTATAGAGGTGAACAGTCCTAAAACATGTTTTGTACATCCTGAGTTTAGGTTTAATGCTGTAGATGTTTGATCTTCAGATACTCTGAAGTCTTTTGCAAGCAGCATTTGCCTGTGCATTTCTTTGCTTGGTTTTAACCACTACATTTCTATACGAAGAGATATTGCTTCCCAGGTAAGTAAAGTCAGTTACTGTTTCCAAACCTACATTATCTATTACTATAGGTCTTTTACTTTTGGAGTTTATCTCTAGCAGTTTTGTTTAACTGACATTGATTTTTAAGCCTGTCTGTTTTGCTATTTCTGTGAACTTATCTGTCTTTTATTGCAGATGTTCTTTACTTTGGCTGATGACACAGATATCATCTGCAAAGTCCAAATATTCAAGGTGTTTGAAAAGGTTCCACTGAAGGCTCGTCCATGTGCCTGTGGTTGCTTTCTCCGTAACATAATCTACCACTTTGAGAAACAAGAAAGGCGACAGAAAGCACCCTTGTCGGACTCCTGATGTTACCTTGAAGTATTCTGTTTCAACGAGTCCTACTTTCACTATGTATTTGTATCCTTCAGAGAGTCCTTTAAACATGCTTATAATTTTATCTGGTGACCCATACGCAGCAAGGATCCTCCATATAATTGTTCTATCTAGACTGTCAAAGGCCTTTTCAAAGTCTATAAAGACTATATAATGTGGCATTCCATTCTTTAGCTTGTTCCACAATATTTCTGAGAGTGAAAATATGATCACAAGAGTTTCTTCCTTTTCTGAATCTGCCTGATCTTCCATCAAAACTCTGTCCACTGACATTTTGATTCTGCTGTATATCACCCTACAGAGTGCCTTTCCGGGTACAGACAATAATATTATGACTCTCCAGTTGTTGCAGTGTGAGATATCACTTATCTTCAGTAGTGGAATGATTACACCACTTTTCCACTCTGTTGGGACCACTTCATTTATCCATATTCTGTTGAATATTCCATGTAATGCTTTTGCTGTAAATTGTGGTCCTGCCTTTAACATGTCAGCACTAATTTGGGCTTCACCTGGTACCTTCCCATTCTTCAGACTGCTTACTGCTGATTCTATATCTTTAATGCTGACTGGTCCAATATCCATTTCTAGGAGTTGGCCACAGTTTTCTGCTGTTTCCACTGTGATATCTGATGCTGGCCTATTTAGCAACTCTGTAAAATATTACTGCCATCTGTCAAAATTTCCTCTTTCCGTTGTGATTATTTCTCCTGGTGTGTCTCTCAGCCGGTCATTGCTGCTTCTTCCGCTTTGGCTGCTTTGAGTTCCATGTTTTATTTTTTGTCTTTCTTTAAGCTTTTCATTACTTTCTTTTTATTTAGTGTTATATGCTTTTCTGTGCAGCCATCTTTTCCAATATGCTCTTTGCAAGGTTTATTTGCTCTTTTTGCATTTTTATTTCTACTATCTTTGACCAAGATTCTTTAGACATCCTTTCCTGTCTCAAATTTCTTTATACCAACTATTTTCTGGGCTGCATTGCAATATGCCTCTTTAGACTGTGCCCATTCTTCTTCAATATTTGCTGTCTTTGGTAGGTGGTTAAACACCTCGAACAGGTTTCTTATTCGACGCAAAAATCTTCTCTGACTTTTAATGTCCTCAGTTGGGCTGAATCAAATAATGGGTTTACAGTCTTTATATTGCTTCTTCTTAATTTAAGCTTCATTAAAAAACTCACCTTTATTCTCATCACTTCCATTATTTGTTGGTACATAGTATTGTATGACTGTAAGTTTCGTGAATCTGGACTCAAAGCGTGCAGTTATTAGACTTTCTTTTATTGCCCTCCATTCAATCAGAAATTTAATTACGTCTTTAGTTAGCATTAGTGCTACTCCATGTGTATGTTCACCATCATTTCTTCCTGAGCAGAGTATGGTCTTCCCACGATTATGTTTCAATCTTCCTTGACCAGGCCATCTGATTTCACTTACTCCCAAACTGCCTGTCTTATTGTTTACCATTTGCTTGACAATTTCTGCGGATCTACTGCTTTATACATCGTTCTGATGTTCCAGCAGGAGAGCTGAATCGTGTTCCTGGGCGCCAAGAGGCAGGTTGTCCGGGCTGGATTTCCCCGCAGGCTTTCCCCCAGTCCTTCATTACTGACAGTTATCCTGTCACCTACATCTATGACATTCGGATCTCCATGAGTATTATTTATATTTTTTCAACAGTGTAGGGTTGCTGGCCTCATGTCCAACCCTTCTTAGTTTCCTCTTACAACATGCACCACACAGTGAAGTTACATCATTGGCAAGGTGTCTATATCTGTCTATATATTGTTCCACGAGGAGGCATGGACTCACAGCCCATGGGGATGGCGAGTGAGGCTAGCAAGACCTGCCAGCATGAAGAAAAGTCTTCCACAATTATAGTATGGGATTTCAGGATTGTTGTTGCCAGGAGGTAATAAGTAACTTCAAAATGCTATTGTCATAACTTGATCAAAATTTGAAGAAAAAAAAACAAGAAAAAAAAATACAAAGACTGTGTAATAATGCTAAACTTTCTCATATGAAAAAACTGAATAATTATTTTGAGGCATAAAGACAGGCAGACATATTTTTTTTAAACGTATTTTGAGAAAAGATAAGATAGACACAAATAATGAGGAGAAAAGAAAACAGGAAGAAAACAGAAAAAGAGTAGGGGATGTGAAGGAAGGAATGGGAAGAGATGAAAGAAAGAGAAAGATGCGGGGGAGGGGCAGAAATTTGAGGGGAAATTGAGAGAGAAAGAGAATAAAAACAAAACTTGCCTGAAATGCTGATAGGCCCATTCTATTTACCCAAACAGTTAGGAGCTGCAGGACAACAGCAAGTTCTCCTAATGTGAAGGACTTTGGTAAATATTCAGGGACTATCTTTAAACATTTCCAAACGAAATAAGATGTCGCCAATGGAAACACAGATAACCCTGAAAGAAACAATTTAAGGAGTTTTTTTTTCCTTCTGCAAGGGGAAGAATACTGAAAACTAACAGAAACATCAAATTTATTTTATTTATATTTGTTTTATAGATATTTTAAAAAACTAAAAACAAAAACACTACAGTTATTGTATTATTGTAAAATGTTCATATTGAGCAACCTAAATAACATGAAAGTAACTCGGTGACATCTCAGACAAACACTTCTTTTTATAGTCTGCTAGATTTAATTGCCCGGGATAGTGGAAGCAAGTTTTATTTTCCCGTCTTTTACCTTATCTTGGTCTCCACCGCTGCCTTATATGTAGGTCTAGTGGAAACTCCACAGAGAAGCGAGCACAACATGAACTTGACATCTTTAGGTTTCTTCTGGATGCTTTCATTTCCTCAACCAACCAATCAATGTCCCATTTCAGTGTGGGAGCTGGCCCACTGGTTCCTGAGTCACAGACGGGGGTGGAGGGATAGGACCAGTTCTTTCCCGTCTGGTCTGCGCTTCACCAACTTAGTGCCCTTTCGAGTGATGAGGCAGCTGAGGGGGAGGTGGCACCAACTATGGAAAGAACTGGTCTAGGAGGCTCCTACTACTCCACCCCGGGTGGTGACCCGTGTTACATTTGGCAGTTTCATCAAATCTTACCTACAAAGCAACCATATCATCTAACACCCAATACTCCCAGAAAAATCGTAGCACTCACAGAGGGAAACACTGGACTAACTAATACGCTAACTCAGTCTCCACTTTAAAGTAAAAAGAACCCTTTCCCATTTCTTCAAACATACTGGATATGTAGGGCTAGAGCTATACTTTACCCAATGGCACTAGGTGGGTGATGTGGTCAGCATCATACCGACAGCCTTTACTTCCCAGTTCTTTACCTCGTACCAGTTTAATGTTGGTCAACTATGGAAGTCGAGGTAACTTTAAAAAAAGTCTAGCTCGATTCCGTTTTAAAGCCATGACGGTTTCTATTTTAGTCATAAATAATTGTACCTACCCTGTTACTACTTTTTTAAATTACCTTCAATGTTAATACTTGGACCATTTATTGCGGAAAAGGCTGAGAGCAGTGCCTACATACAATTAATTTTTTAAGAAGTTTCAGCAGGGGTTTAAACCATGGATCTTCCATGTGGTAGGCTAAAGTAATTACAATTGCACTGCAGAAAATCTAACAAAAATCAATTTTCATAGCCCCACTTTATGCTGAAAATATAAATGCCACACATTCAGCATAGAAAATAATTAAATCTTAAGCACGATGTCAGTGGGATTTTTTTTTTTTTTTTACATGTAGCAATTTCATGCTTGAGGCAATAATCTGAGGTGTTGACAACCATGTCTAACCACTGCCTTCTGTCACATAAGGGAGGAGTTAACAGTTGACTTAAAATGAAGTTACTAAATACAGGAAGGCATTTGTGCTTTACAGTATAGACGTTTTGTGGTGTGATAACCATTTCTGTTCACTGCCTTCTGTCACATAAGGGAGGAGTTAACAGTTGACTTAAAATGAAGTTACTAAATACAGGAAGGCATTTGTGCTTTACAGTATAGACGTTTTGTGGTGTTGATAACCATTTCTGTTCACTGCCTTCTGTCACATAAGGGAGGAGTTAACAGTTGACTTAAAATGAAGTTACTAAATACAGGAAGGCATTTGTGCTTTACAGTATAGACGTTTTGTGGTGTTGATAACCATTTCTGTTCACTGCCTTCTGTCACATTAGGGAGGAGTTAACAGTTGACTTAAAATAAAGTTACTAAATACAGGAAGGCATTTGTGCTTTACAGTATAGACGTTTTGTGGTGTTGAAAACCATTTCTGTTCACTGCCTTCTGTCACATATAGGAGGAGTTAATAGTTGACTTAAAATGAAGTTACTAAATACAGGAAGGCATTTGTGCTTTACAGTATAGACGTTTTGTGGTGTTGATAACCATTTCTGTTCACTGCCTTCTGTCACATAAGGGAGGAGTTAACAGTTGACTTAAAATGAAGTTACTAAATACAGGAAGGCATTTGTGCTTTACAGTATAGACGTTTTGTGGTGTTGATAACCATTTCTGTTCACTGCCTTCTGCCACATATTAATTATGTCTGATACAGATATTCTTTCACATCATGATTCAATACTGATGTATCTCTCCTCTTGACCTTCCCATGCATTTACCTCTCAAACTGTCCAGCTATCACAATGTATTACAATTGTTCCCTTACTGTGACAGGACAATGATGCAGACTGTCTTTTTTCTGATGCAGGTAATTAGTTCCCTTTATAAGAAATGACCTAGAAGAGTCAACATTTATTATGTAGGGTTATTAGAGCTAACATGTGACAACCACGTACATGTAATAGTTAAAAATTATGCCAACACATGCAGATAAAGGACATAACTAGAAATGCTCCAAAACAACGTAAGCACTTTCAAAACATGTAACAGCTGAAAACTCTTGCAACTCAATTCAACTGCAGCCTTCCACTAGCTTGAAAACCAACTGCACAAAAGTTTTTATTGTAAATAACTTGTAGAGCATTTTGAGAAAGGTGGAGACACGTATGCTACCTGCAGAGTGGCATCACTTTAGAAGTCCCAGGTAGTTAGTGCCTTTTGGATATTTTCTCCAGGGGGCACTGGTGTGTTCGTGGAAAAAAACAGACAGACAGACTGATATTTCTGCATCTCTTGGTGATAAATCAACACATGACATGCTAAATGCTATAAGGGCCCATTGGGAGCAAGTAAACAGTGTGGAGGCACAAACAGATGATCATCACAGTCTAAAGGGAATGGTGCAGCAAGGGGTGACCAGGGGATCTGGCCGACACTCAACAACCAGGGAAGGGGCAAGAATGACATACAATCAGACCGTTACTGGTACCAATGAAACTTGAACTCTGCACTTGCTGCTGAAAATGGGGACAGGGCTCCATTGGGAATGTCCGGAATGTTATGATGTTGGTTCTTAACTTATAACTCATAACTCTGGCAACACTTACAGCTAAAGGACATAACTAGAACTGCTCCAAACAATGGAAGCACTACAAGCAAATACAACTGGAAGTGCTGGTTGTCTGCTAGAGCCAGTCTCAAAAGGATGACTGCCAACACTGCTAGGCTCAGCCATATCTCCTGAAGAACACTTGAGGGACCTGAAATATTTTCAAAATTCTCATTAGGTAAGCTATCTGTATCATTCCTTTCAAATGAGATTTCACAATATATTACTTTAAGATGTAAATATTAATGTCAGTGAATCAAATACATTCCCTTTGTTTTGCTTCCTTACAACAATTTGTATATTTGAAAAACCAGAGATGATCTAAATTATAGTCAAAGCACAGCATAAGATGGCAATCAGATAAAAACTGAAATCTTTTGAGATAATTTCTCAAGCTTTATTTCTATGGGGAAAAATGGGTAAAGCTACATTATGACACATTTTGCCAGTTCTTCTTTATGCAGCAGAATGCTGGAGAATGACCATAAAAATAACATCTTGTAGGGAGTCGGCAGTCCGAAACCCAAGTTCAAGGTGTCTCCTTCGTGCCAAAGAACTGCATGGCTGTTGGGTAAACAGTCGTTAACGATGGCAGGCAGGTCGTTGTAGGGGCAGACGCCTGCTGGTGGATGTAATGTCCTAAGTCCCTTCCCCAGCTAATAATGAGGGTACTTCTGGGGTCACCGTTTATTAACCCTCATATAATGCTTCCAGTCAAAATGGATGCTAAGCACGGCCACCTTTTTTTTTTTAAGCCGTGGCAAATGTTTTTTCTTCTTCTGCCAGACGGTGGCCGTTGCATTTTTGCTCAATTTGTAGACTGGAAGGATGTAGTTTCGTCGCCCAGCTTCTGAGTTGAGTGCATGGCGTGACACTGTGAGCTGCGTTTGTTTTTCGTTGGCACAGGAGCGGAGCAACTGTGGGGTGACCCGTTTGCTATGAAGCTGAAACTAGGATTACCAGATTACACATGTCTATGTAAAATTATCAAATTAAAATGTTCTGGCCAGGTACAATCTCAAACACTAAACTACTTCAAGTCACAAACCAAGAAACTCTAGACAGTATGATAACCAAGAGAAGATGGAAATGGTTTGGCCACGTTATGAGAATGAATCCTGATATACCTGCCCAATTCAGCTCTCACATGGACACCAGAGGGAAAGAGAAAACAGGGGCGCCCAAAAACAACATGGAGACGAATGATAGAAAGTGATGGAGACGAACGATAGAAAGTGACCTGAGTGCAGCATCTTTGACATGGAAAACTGCACTGAAGATTGCACAGGACAGGAGAGCTTGGAAAGTTCTCTCTGAAGCCTCATGTGCCACTAGGCATAAAGATAACTGATGACACTAAAGGTCCATTTGTTGTTATATATTGTATTTAATCTTACAAATTCAAACATTTACTCTCCATAAGTCTCATTTCTTCTAACTAAACTACACATTTAAGCTTGAATCGGAGATGCCCAGAGTGGGTTCTGGAGTCTCATTTTGGTAGGGAAAAAAGAATAGACATAGGAAGAGATCAGTAAGGAGTTTGCTGAAACTGGATACGTTGGGCCAGGCCTGTCCTTTGAATCATGTCCAATTAGCAAACAATTGGCGAATCAGCCACCACGTGTATATGTGGATTAGCACTTGAGACAACAGATCATGTCCTCCGAGACTGTATAAAATACAACTTATCAATGCACAAGTTTTGGCTAAGAGAAACACCAGTGCAAGCCAAACTTTACGAGTCGCTGAGTGAATTACAACAGACAGCAAAGTTCATACTAGAGACAATATTGCAGATATAGATAATCTATTTGAAGCAAATGAAAGAAAAAGTAAACTAGCAAAAACATTTCTTGGGGCCACAGAGATGTTCTTTTGTAGAATAATGCTGAAAAGCCCATGGAGAGTGAAAATAAGTAATGTTTTGAAAGATGTTCATTAAAAATATCAGAAAGTGGCGGACATTTTTTTTTTTTTATGTGGTCACTATATATGCACCTATGAGAGCAGTGATACTGTAGTGGCTAAATGCTCACCTGCCAGCCTGAAGGTCAGGCGTTCAAATCTGCATAAAGTCAGATTTTCAAAAAAGATATTGGCTTGTATGTCCATTCAGACTAAAAAAGGTAGCAGGTAAAATGTTGAAAAGCAAAGGTTATTCTGTGTGATGTTGCCCATACCACATATGGAGTGCCGATAGGTATAAAACAATATGAGCCTGGCATCTTTTGTCTGATACGCTACTAGCGGAAATGGATCCTTTTACTTTTACTTGTAAACATGCATACACACACCGCATGTACGCCGACATGTGCGCATTTATGTAATTTTTATATAAATAATATTACACACAATAAACCAAAACACAAAATACAACTACATTACACAAAAATACAACTCCACTACATAAAAATACAACTACATTACACAAAAATACAACTACATTACACAAAAATACAACTACATTACACAAAATACAACTACATTACACAAAAATACAACTACATTACACAAAAATACCACTCCATTACACAAAAATACAACTACATTACACAAAAATACCACTACATTACTTACCTCCGGACTGTTTTTTTGCACAAACTTCACCAAGAAGAGCCAGGGGAACCAACAACACACAAAATATTCCAGAAGATGCATTTGGTCTAAAAAGCGAAATAAACTGTTGGTTACTTCAGAAGACATGGTATGAACATACTCCACTGCGGGTAACGTTGAAAAAAAAAAAGATTTAAGTATGCAACACTTTTCAAGCACTAAGGTGCATGTTCGTTTGGTTCTAGCCCTTCCCACATAGAACTGCAGGATACACCTGGCTAGTCTAGCCATTATAAACACACTAATTATAACTTCTTTAAAGGCTGAAACGGATATCTTGGATCTTCCTTGCTGGTCTGCCATCCAGACTGAGATTCTGTAATCGTAGGATGGCATGGTAAAATCTTTAGGTTACAGCCTGGAGAAGGCAAACTGATTGATTCAAGGGACTGGTCAGTAAGTATCAGTCGGCAGATTAATTTCTTCATTTCTAAGTTTTTAATAAATTTATTTGTGATTATTTCACAAAAGCAACTAAGAGCTAATGATAGCATGCAGTTTGCTGAGTTGTTAGTACAAAAGATTTTGTATCTGGAGGTCTGTGTTGAATCACAGTGGGACCCAGTTACTTTTATGAGCTGAACGATTGAGAACACTGGGCACTCATGCCGTAGACCCAGATTTGAATCCTCTGCAAGGTTGTGGATGGGGTTTTCCCCGGCCCAGAACAAAAATAACATCCTCACCTGCACAGTCCATGGCTACAGTAATAGCATGCGGCCCCAAGTCCTCAGGCTCAAAGACCCCTTGCCTACACTACAAAAGTGGTAAATATAAGCGGTAATGACAGTTTTTGGCTTACCTGTATGAAGACTGTGTTGTTATGCAAACTCTATTTCTCCTTGCATAATACCATAAAACTGCACTCTGCAGTAACAGAATATCTGTAAAATATTTCATCAAAGTTAATTATATAAAGTGAAATAAATATAAAATCAAACTCCATACCTCAAATGGTTCATTCTAATGTTAGTAAATATATTTATGTTCTAAAATCTCTCTCTCTCTCTCTCTCTCTCTGTGTGCGTGTGTGAGTAATGAGATGAACTGCAGTGCAACTGTAAAACTGTAGACAACTGGATAAGTCAACTTTATATAATAATTACAATAACTAAACAATGGCTAAAAGCTTCATCAGCAGGCAACAATGACAAACAAACAAACAAACAAACACACACACACAGAGGGGAGAGGGGAGGGTATAAAACACAGATCTCAAAGTATATTATGATAATGTATTACCAACAATAATGGTCAGGATTGAACCTTCTGCACAGTAAAATTCTTAAAACATGACTTTTTTTTTCAAAATGTAGTTCAAAATAAACTCATCCTTATAAATCACTTGAACTACCCTAAGAAACTAGAGGAAAGGAAAAAGCAGAAGAAATTTGCAGTCTTGGACTGTTTTTATAAATAATGAGTGGATTTAGTCCTTACCCAGGGCTATTCAGCTAGTGGCCCATGCACCAAATCTGGCAGAGATCTATCAAGTGGCCTATGAACAGCCTGCCAATTGTATTATAATAATAATCTTTCTATGCCAGAGGTCCCTGGCCCCATGACGATCCATATTTTCCAACAGTATGGCCCCTGAATAAACTTAGTTGAATGGCCCTGACACAGAACATTGAGCAGACATGCAAATGTGAAGTCTACAGCTAAATCACGGAAGTCCACAGCTACACTGTGACTGTCACATCACTAAAATAATTCATGTTAATCTGTATTATTACTTTTTATTAAGCAAAAACAGGATTGAACTAAAGAGGCAATCCCACATGTAAACTAAAGGATCACATTGTTAACCTTAGACTTCTGTGGTAACATCTGCAGTGTATGAAGAGATTAAAGTTCAGTTAAAAGGATTTATTTTTACACAAATTCTGAGGTAATGGAGCCGACAAGTTACAGTGAAATGTATCAGAAAATAAATTGTGCAAAACATATTATTTAAATTCACAACAGAAAAATAAATGTTTGAATTCGTGAAAATATCTGGTAATAAACTATACCACAGGTAAACTTACTGGCTACAATTATACTCTGAAATGACAGATTCTGGCAAGTGATCCAGTTAGCCACAATGTAGATCACTGCAACTCCAATAACTATGTTACACCACTTTTCCATCACTGTAACTTATAACAAGTAAATATCAGTTGTGGTTAATATACTTAATTTAAAAGCAAAGAAATTATACTGAAGACATTCTCTTATGGGTTCCAGGGCCCCAATTGTGGGTGGGGTGGGGGGGGGGGGGGGGCAAAGAATAGACCCACTGTCCCTTAAAAAGCCTGTCGTAAAAGTCAACTAAGTGTCAAGAGATGTTTCCTCTGAAGTCAAAGTGCATCTAGCTGAACCAAAAGTCTGCATACAAACAATCTGGATCTGTAAAATGGATGTGAACGCAAAATTCATGTTCTGGAACAAGACAAGTGGATTACCAACTAGAACTTTCTGCTGCAGCTTACAGCCGATGACTGTGAGAGAAGAAGAAGAAGAAGATATAGTAGACAAGTTGTGAAACATCTAATGGCAAAGGAACTGTAGTTGCTAAAGAAGTGCAAAGCATATCATAGGTGGACTGAAATAAATTCAGCAGTCATGAAAGAAACAGTTGAAAAGCATTAAGATTATTGTTAGAAGATAAAAAGTGAGTTGAAATAATTACTGCTTGATCTCACCTCTCTTCAAAACCTCTCTTTCAATAGAAAGAGAAAAGCCCAATCATACAAATACATTTAAATATTGGTTGTAACACGAGGGGAAAAGAGGAGGAGGGGGCAATCACAACATTAGATGGAGGATCTGTAAAAGATATTAGGAGCATGATATTCTAAACAAAAGCTGCATTCAAGAAGAATGGTATGCCTTTCTTCTGAGCCTCGAGCATTTGCCAGAACCTCTTGTCACTCTTCCCTGCATCAGTCTCACCAGACTGTTGTGATCCATCTGCTCCTCCGAACTGTACACGCTCTCCCACAAGGCACTAGCCACGTCTGCTTTATCATGTATCAGTATTCCATCAAGATGTGCAGAGCCAGCCAGTCTGTCCGCCTGTTCATTTCTCAACACACCAGAGTGGCTCAGTGAAAAATCCAGACAATACTCTTCACCCGTGTCCTCGGCAGCGAAGCACGCCACTCTGCACGCCTGTCCTGATCTTCCTCAGCAATCTTTCTGAGTCAGTTACAATCACAATGTGTGTGTGTGTCGTGTTCTCTAGCCAGTGGAAAGCTGCAGTGACTGCCTCCACCTCAATTTTTAAGCTGGATGTTGTGGTATCATATGCTAGGCTCTCCTGCACCAAAAGTCGATTATTAACTTTTTCTAAGAAACCCCAAGCACTTCTTTTTCTCTTGACACTGAACCGTCTAAGTAAATGATCAAATCCTCTGAGTGAGCATTATCTTGAATTTATTGCTGAAGTTCCATCTTCGTGGCACCTGCTAGCCAGTCTCTGCATTCCCGGCTCAGCGTGATTATGACCCTACACAAGTCTGACTGTTCAGGTGGCACTTTGACCCACTCCTCTTCTCACTTAATGTTCTCAAGGATGCAAACCTGTCTGATTGTGTCTTCTGCCTGCGCCATCCATGACTTCCCTCTTATCAGACGCTGACCCTTAACTGCACCCAGAGCTTCGTGCAAAGGGTGTCTGTGTCTGCAGCTACCATGAGATATGACTTCGCCTGCAGCACCTTGTGCCTACCTGCAACAGTCAGCAAACCAAGGATGTATTGCACACACACCACTGGGGTGTCTCTGGTGCAACCCAGAATGACCTGTATAGCTACGTTCTGTATGCACTCCAGTTTGTCCATCTGACTCTTTGAGACGGTAAGCAGTCCTAGGTCATATTCAACCACTGACAGGATCTTAGAAAGAATAACAAATAATGGTTCCCTAGGAAAGCTGAAGAAAACAACATTTTATTGAAAGAGGCAATGATCTTTACTTATGTGATGAGAAGAAATTCGTTGAAGAACATCATAATGCCCAGAAAGATCAGCAGTAGATGAGGCAGCCTAAGAGAAATGATGCTGAATGATCTAAGACAATGGCATTGAGCAAGATTCCAGAACCATTGAAGGCTCAGACATCTAGAACAACCTTCCTTCCCCCCACACACTCAACAATTTTAGCAGTTGAATATCCCCCCCCCTCCCTCTTAAATTTGTGAGAGGTGCTCTCTCCATCCCTAACCATGGATACAAGTTCTATTTTGGAGTATTTGTTTATACATTTCATTTTATTTCTTATTAAATTTCTTTTCCGTTCAGCACATAGTATTAATTGTTAATATTATGCCATGAACCAAGGTTTGGGGTACTTGAGGCCGCCTTATGAAATTTATGGGGGAAAGGCACTTATCTCCTACCCCCCTTCCCCAAAAGTTTTCCTTGTGTCTGCATCCCTGGCATTTAGCAATACCATCCACAATGAATCTAAAACACCAAGAACCAAAATCAGAGGAGAGACATTAACATTCAAATGCCCGCTTTATGGCAATGAACATGATGATGATGGCGACTTCCATTCAATTGATTTATTAAATGTTAATTTGAAGAAAAAATTTAATCACAGAAATTTCATTAGAAAACCAAATAACAAATCAAGTTAAGGAATAATAGTCATTATTGATGTTAATGTATTAACTGATTGGGGTGTGTGGGAGAGGGGGGGGAGGGGTTAGTTTATGGTGGACAGCCAAGATATCTTATCTGAATGTATCAATATTTGATATGGCTATTATTACCTGTATTACAGATTAAATGTAGTCATCGCCAAAATCAAAGACACAATTTGGAGAGCAAACATTTTTGCTGTAACGATAAATGGATATAAGTTGTGGACTGTCTCCCAGTCACAAAGTAAGAAATATAGGGGTCTCTAGGCTGAAATGTTATGCTGATACCAGTAGAACTAAGACACATTCTTTGAAGACCATTGACCAAGAGAAAAAAAAATACTGACATTCTAATAAATAAACATTAACTCTTTGAGGACTGTTCGCCAGTAAACTGGCCTATGAATTTATCCCTATCGGACAAGTCGCCACTATACTGGCATATCACACAGACACTCATTTTGTTGGGGAAAACTAACTTTTATAATTAAGTTTTGAAAAATTATGATTAACAACAGGAAGTCCTTTTGTTTGCAATGTTCCGCGTGGCTTTTGAGTCATTTTCAGATTTTCAAAAAAATAATTTATAAGTGATACAAATTTTACATGATTTTTCTACATTAAATGATAAGGGAAAAGGTCTAGAACTGTTCATACTGCTGTGTTGTTGATGAATCTCTGTCAGATGGTGACAACAGTCTTGATATTATGATTAATATCTAAGTGACAAACCTATTGGTGATAATTTAGTTTAGGATATGAAAATTGAACAAAATATTTGAATCAGGTCAGATGTTTTCCAGATTTTCGGTTGTTGTGAAATCTGATATGTCCTTTAAATTTGATCATAATATCCAGAGCATTTAAATTAATTGTTTCAAATAAAGACTAGCTGACTCATCCGCGGCACGGATGGGGGCTAAACTAGATGGCTGGGTCTGACGAGCAGCAGCTACCGCATCTCCTGCAACTTCCTCCAATTAATTTGCTCGTGAGTCCTAGGCACCTAGTTTAGCCCCCCATCCACACCGCGCGTAGCGGCGGGGGGATACTGTCGGCGGTAAGTGTAACCGCGTTTTGCGCATGCCGACAAGTTTGAGGGCAACAACGACGCTAATATGCGTCGGTGCACGTGGACCATGTGGCTTTTATCGTCAGTAATGTTGCATGTCTCGAAATTGTCAATGGTCGCTATTATCGTCTGTAGAAACGCTCGAAAGTGTCAACGGTCACTATTATCATCTGCTACTATCGTCTGCAGTGTTGCGTCTCTTGAAATTAGCAGGTAATCCTAGTTTTGCCGCGATTCGTTCGTCGCCGGAAGCTCGCATATTTTTAATATAGAACTGAGTCCCGTACGGATATTTGTTGCTGTCATAATGCGGGGGTAGAAGTTCGGAGGAGAGCCGAAAATTGACTAGTAAACAGAATCGTGTCTCGCGAACAAATTGGCCACATTAAGAGCCACATTGGACTGGACAGGAAAGTTAAAGAAAGCATAGTACCAGGAAAGTTAGGCCAGAGCGGACACGCACGAAGATTGGAACAGGATGTAAGGGACGCTTTGGCAGTTTGGGTAGGAGGACCGACAGTGCAGGAGGAAGGCGAGTTGAGTGGTTGTCTTTTTTTCAGGCAGGCAGGCTGCGACGACAGCGACGTATGCAAAGGACCTACACATGATGATGTAGTCGAATCATGCACTAATACAAACTTTCATTCCGATATTTTTATCTTCTTTTCATAAAGTGTACTAATTTTACTAGTGCCATCACCTTTCACTTTTCATCCTCAATTTTCTGACAACTGCAGGTGTTTGTTTACTATCAGTCCCTTATCCTATCTTCTTTCAAAGAAGAGTAGTAATTTCAGTATCCGCAAAATCGTTGTTCAGTCGTTACATGCAAGAATATTCTATAACAGTATAGCCACGTGAGTATTAGAAATAATATTAAATAGTTTGCTTATTATAATCATAATAATACATATATATATATATATGTTACAGACAATGTTGTAAACGAATACGTTTTTGCGCCTAAATTAAAGCGCAAAATGAACACGTACATATATTGCCTGTTGGCCATGACTTGGTGACATCCTCGTTCACTGAATGACGCTTCAAACAACTGCCTGCTACACTACGGGTCGACGACAGCGTGTCCACAATGTAGGTATTTCTGTGGATTTTTATGACTCTGATGATTCACCCTAATAGTCTATTATTATTCATTTATCTTTCCGATACATGAATCATAATATCAGTAATGAGTCTTTTACGGTATTCGTCGTCAGTAAAGGCTTTGATTAAAGCATTGCTTGAGGATGGATTGAGTTTGAATTTGAACGCCTTTTTTTAACCCCCGCCCCCGATACTGGCTATTACACTGAGCTTTCTGTTCATAATTTGTTAGTGACCACGTCGTCGATGATTACCATAACAACGATTATAACTGGTGAAAGAAGTGTTATTGACATTTAAAATAGACAAGCTCTCTTTACG